GGAAGTAGGGAGTTAACATGGAGCGTTAACTGGGGAACACTTCCCCTGAATAGACCGGGTGAAGAGGGCGATACTCTTCGAGTGTTAGAGTCATTACTCTGCTGTATTGAAGTTATCTGTAATAAATACGTGTTGCCTCCATCAACCATTCTCGTCGTCACAATCTCATTACAGTAGCACCGTTGCAAGTGATCATCTCAAACATATCGGGTGCCTGCCCCATTCACCAATCCGCACTGACCAGTGTGGTGAAGTATGGTTAAATTTACCTCCATATCGGACGCGGCATGAGGGGGGGGTGCTTCATCCAGGAGTAATAATAATAATACTTACATTTTATAAAGCGTCATTCACGCTAATAGCATCCCATAACGCTCTACAATCTACATGAATCTCCATATATAGAAAAAGCAAAGTTGTGATTACATGTGTCTGTTCAAAATGTTTAGCGTACTTCGCGACATGCAACAAACTTTAAATTTGCCATGTGGGCACTTTCCAGCATGTACACCATGCAGAAAATATTATTTGGGGGGGGGGGGGGGGGGGGGAGCTCAATAATGCAAGTGAGTTGTGACGTCAAATCTGTCACGTGACCCGCGCACGTGGAAGCGTAACGCATTGTAGTGTAGTGGTTAGCGCGCTGCGCTACGAACCCGGCGACCCGAGTTCGATTCCTGCTCACAGCCACCACCGGTGACGATTATTTGAACCGGTACTGGGCCTCCCCTAGGTCGACTCAGTCCTCAAACGAGTAACTGATGTGGTGTGTGAACATCGCCACTGGGGGGACAAAGGCGGCCGGGCGTGGTAAATCCAAATCCCGGGCGAAGCCGGGTAGTAAAGCAAGTTATATATAAAGACCAAATCCCACATACAGCCACTACTACCAAGCAAATGTAAACCCTATTACCAAGCAAAATAAAAAATATATTAAACAGCAGTAGGTTAACAAAGGGATGAAGTCGTGATCAGTTGGGGTTAATTTTTTCATTGGCCTCACGATTCAATGAATCGTTTCGATTCAGCGTCACGATTTGACTCAATAATCGATCATTATTTTTGTTAGTTTTACATTTTGGTGAATGTAGTAGGCTCCAATGGCTGGAGTGGTAATGTGAATCTGTTATGTACAACATGTGGATTGAAACACATTCATTCCCCATGTAATTTAATGCATCTATCTACCGTCAGCATAAGGATCTCTATCGGAATAAATCTAGTCACTCAAATATCAAAAGTAATAATATATAATATAGAATTCGTAACGTGCCCAGTTTCCGTTCACTCTCTTAGATAATGAGTCAGAGGCGTTGGAAACCACACACAAACAGAAAGTCAACCAGCACTTCCGATTAGCGAGGTTGGCTTACGTACTGTATGAAATAAGTTCAACATACATACAAAAACTGTCCAAGCTCTCGTGTCCTGTATTTGGATTTTGGCCACCTGCATTCATGAGTGTCTATATGTATGGGAGGAAACTGAAGTGACCAGAGAAAACCAACACGTTTGGGGGAAGTTAACGATCATTCCTCGTACGGATGGAAATTAATGAGCCTCAGTGCGAGCTGCATGAGAACTCACATAGCTGACACAGTAGGCGCTCAGATAGCGTTGAAACTGGGATGTAGTCGTTTTAAATCCACACAAATGCTATTGAAGGGCTTGGCCAAATACACAATAATAATGATTATTGTTCATTATTCTTTACCAGTGCTGTGTTTTGATGTTGTATGGTGCGAAGTCCTGGATATTGCTTCAAGCTTAGGGGCCGTCCATAAATGACGTCACGCGATATTGTACGATTATTTGCCCCCCCCCCCTTCGTCACACGGCGTCACAAAAAGTCAGACCCCCCTCAAATATGACGTCACAAAGCTCTGTCCCCCCCCCCCCCCAAATAAATAAAAACATGCTCCAAATCGCTTAAAACTATTGTCATTGTAGTGCGTATATAATGTGGCGCTGCACTCTGATGTTGTAGGACAAAATATTTATTTAAAAGGCTATTTAATTAAGTAGAACGTGTTGTCTATGTTTATTTAAAGTTGCGTATTTTGATATGACGTCACATTTCTAACCCCCCCCCCCCCGTCACACATCATCACAAATGTCTGACCCCCCCCCCCCCTAGGTGCGTGACGTCATTTATGGACGGCCCCTTATTTGGATCGGCTACAGTCCTTCCACACGGGATGCCAACGACGCATTCTCGGCATCCGATGGTTCGACTTCGTCAGAGATATCACCATTGCATCTGCGACCGGTCTCCTAGCGACCGAGAGCTTAGTCCGAGGAAGACGGCTGTGGTGTCACTTTTTGGACGAGTCGCAAACTCCTGCAGAGCAAATAGCGCGCACTTCAGTTGGCGGTTGACCTTCAAAGCGGACTTGCGACCCTGAAATGAATCCCTCCGTCCACGTGGTCATCCCCCATGATACCTGTGATGAGATTGTATCACTACCGACGATGCTCACCTGACGTGGTCGACACGGCGTGACAAGGACAGTCGGGAAAGTAAAAACAAAGCCCTCTGATGGGTACTGAACGGACCTGAAAGGGGACTGGTTAGAGGCAGGGAAATTTAAGGGATTGGGAGAAGCACAACATGGAAAGAGCGGAGAAACGGAGGATGATTGACAGGGAGGTCGGTTGGGATCGATTCAGAAAAGTGGAAGGTGATTCTAGATTTGAAGCTTTCGTGACTGCAAGGATTCATATTCTTAGGTCTTTTCGGTAAAGTCACGTAGGTAAAACATTAAAATTAATAAAAGTCGTGATTTTAATTTTATTTTACTTTTATTAATTTTAATGTTTTACCTACGTGACTTTACCGAAAACACCTAAGAATATGGAAGGTGATTGGCTGGAGGGAAAGTGGGTCAAGGAACCTTCGAGAAAGGGGCTTGAGGGATATATATAAGGGGGAAAGTGGGAGAGCTCGGGACGCTTGGATAAAAGGGAATCTTTGAAGACCGTGCCTCTGCCTGAAGAAATAAAGACTCCTGCTGTTGAAGACTGCTGTGTCGAGTGTCACTACACGTGGATCAAACAAATCACTCGAAACGCCGGTGTATGGCAGCAAGAGCAGTTGATGCGAATGCTGTCGCAAGAGGTCACACGTTTGGCGCAACGATCCTTCACTATGCGTGATGCATTAAAACAATTTTATTACCACGTGACATTAATGATGTTTGTTTTCAAATACAGGCGATCTAAATATATGCTTCGCGTAACTTTGCCGCGTTCAAGTTCGGTCTTGCTTTGGGAGTTTACTTCCTCATATGTGTGGTTCATCGTGGCGACCGTAAAGATTAGAAACACCGTGAAATTGTACGCAAGCACGGTTCTGATGAATGGCGTAAATTCCCATAAAACGCCAGTTTAATTCCCCACATTCAAAACTGACGTCCCAACAAATTCCCCGCGTACGTGTGAACGATATGTGTTTTAGTATGTATGTATGTTCAACTTGTTTCGTACCGTACGTGGCTAATCCTGCTAATGCGTGGCGTGAGAATATGTAAGGGTTGGCAAATCACAGCAATAATATTCACAGCCCCCTGTCGTCAGTCCAGTGATGGACTGCCGCATGTGGGTGATCGGAGCATACTTCAACACACTGGTCAGTGCAGATATGTGAAGGTGGTAGAGCATAAATGTGGGAGCGTAGAAGTACAGTGCAACCACGGATTGCGCTGCACAGCCCTCTACTGCACGTCTCCGCAACCGCCTCTGACAACCTGGCGTGCCATCCAAGCATGATCCAGGCTAAAACTTGCGTAGATTCCCAGATCCGATAGGGTACATTACGGGTGATTGATTGTGTCATAGGCTATTTAGTAGAATGGCCGACAAATATGTATCCTGCGTGCAAAGGAGTCATTCGATCATTTAACTAACAGATTTTCCGGCCACGAAAATATACGCTCGGTCACGATCCCGGATGTGAAGGGCTCCTTGACATTGCAGAGCTCACTTGTAGATACTAAACGCTCGTGGATTTAAAATGCCATGATCCCTCTATGTGTGGTGCAATGTAGATTTAGTTTTGTCTCTTCTTGATGTCCATTCTGTAAATTTGACTTGAATCCAATATACTGCTGCGTTGGCAGTTGTGTATAAGCACAAATAACACAAAATACCTTCACAGATGTATCAGCAACACTGGCCTTACAAAGTAAAAATACGAAGGAAATTACCTTCATTTATCTGCTATGAAGAAGGGCCAGCGCACGGAACGTCACAAATTATATATATTTTAGCTTTTAAGGTCACATGCACAGTGGTATCGATGTGTTCTACATATAGAGCAGTGGTTCTTAACCTGGGATGCACGCACCTCCAGGGGGTGCGAGATGCCCTTTCTGGGGGTGCGAGACGTGGCCAGATTGTTTTTATAATGTAAATCATCGAAACACAGATTAAGCACGGGCACGTAAGTACAACTACTTTGTTTCATCAAACCCATGTGTTTATTAATGATGTCCATTCTGTAAATTTGACTTGAATCCAAATTACTGCTGCGTTGGCAGTTGTGCATAAGCACAAATAACACAAAATACCTTCACAGATGTATCTACTTTGTTTCATCAAACCCATGTGTTTATAAACATTATTTATAACAAATTACGATTGAGAACAAAAGGGGTGCAAGGCTGCAGTAAAGGTTAAGAACCACTGATCTAGACAACGTGATTATCGTCGTGCAGGACCTGTGTCGAATTAACGACAGTGCATGTTGGTATTAATACTCCCGTACTTGTGTAGGCCTGTACATGCTTTGTAGAATATTCATTTAACGACGTCTATTGACTATGCGAATTTGCACAACGCTTTTAAGGAGTTGCCAACACTGGCTCAGCCCAGCCCAGCGTCACGCACTTGGCAATTGATTCAACCTTTGGGGCCAGCACTTTGGCAGTGGGCGGTGTCGGTCCACACGTGTCATCTTTGGGCGAGACGCGCTGAGTGTAAGTTACTAAGTTTCCCGCAGCGTGTGTGTGTCTGTGTGTATGCATATGTGGGTGTGTGTGTTTGTGTATGGGGTGTTCACTACCGAGTCATTCGTTCCCCCTGAGTCATTGCACGCTCCACGAAACCACGGCGAGTGAAAAGACCGGCGATCAATCCCCGAGTGTCGAAGGGACATTTGAAGAGCGTCGCTGCGTTGTTCATTGAGTCAGGAGGTGGGTGATGGTGGTGGTGATGTGTGGTGGTGGTTCATGTGTGATAGTGATGTTGGTTGATATATGTAATAATGATGGTGGTTGATGTGTGATAGTGGTGGTTGGTGGTGGTTGATGTGTGGTGGTGTTGGTGGCGGTAGTGATGTGTTGTGGTGGTGGTTGATGTGTGATGATGGTTGATGTGTGAAGTGGTTGGTGGTGGTTCATGCGTGCTAGTCGTGGTAGTAGTGATGTGTGAAGTTGGTTGATGTTCGATGGTGGTAGTAATCACGTGTGATAGTGATGTTGGTTGCTGTGTGGTGGCCGATGTATGAGTGATGGTGATGTGTGATGGTGCTTGTTGAGTGTTTATAACTTAAGGTTTCTATGGTCAATGTGTTCTCTTGCGAATCTCGTGTACAACTCGCAGATTTAATCCCTTGAGTAAGGGCGCAATACAAGTCTGAATTATAATGTTTATTACTCTATTTGGTGATGGTGGTGGTGATCGGGTGTGACAGTGGTGGATGTGTGCTTAAACGAGCCTTGGGGTGAGCTCTCATCTCCACTGGCGGAGCTTCGCCTGCAGTGGTGGAAATTCCACATTCTCATAGGCGGGAGCCGGATTTGCCCAGAGCAGGACCCGCTGCTGGTGGGACTGCTCTTGCGGGTATAAGATACTGACGCTTAAATTTCGATTTAAAGCTTTCGTGACTGCAGGGATCATATTCTTGGTTCTTTCGGTAAAGTCACGTAGAAGGGAAACAATAAAATAATAAAAATAAAACAATAAAATTCTTAGGACGTTTCGTTTGCAACACAAGCAATCATCATCAGGTGTGAAAACCACAGCAATACATTTTTTTGAGAATTTAATTGTTTTATTATTTTATTATTTCCCTTCTACGTGACTTTACCGAAAGAACCGAGAATATAATACTGAAGCTTGTGTGAGCGCCGTGACCTTGTTTACACTTACACGCAGCTCGATCTCAACACTACTGCTGGATGACACTCTACTCAACGCGCCGTTTCGGTAGTTTTGACCATACTTCACCGCGCTGGTCAGTGCGGGTTGGTGAGGGCTCCCGGGGAGCATAGACGCGTACGGTACAACATAGAACGACAATGGATATAGCCACCACTGCTCTCTGCGATGTAATTCCCCGCAGGTGCCTATAAGACCCCGTTATGCACGGTGATCGCTTGCACAGATGCTATTGTGTTGTCCGAGACCCATTTATGTATCTAATTGTTATACAACTACTGTATACTATGGTCCAGATGTCTTGTGAGCCCCAGTTAATTGACCCCTGACAAAAAAATATTCCTTTCCATATTCAATTCTGTTTTAAATAAACCTTGGTTTAAAACTATATGTTTTAGACAATTAAATGGGGGGGGGGGGGGGGGGGGTCACAATACATCTGGACCACCCTATACAATGTTACCCCATGAGGTATCCCCCCCCACCCCCACATATTTACAATTAGCTATGTTCAGTGTGAACCCTAAGAATCGCGTTTCTGCCACGTCAGTGAAGTTCCCAGTCGCCGCATCCCCCCCCTCTGCCTTCATCACAGACACAGCAGGACCCCCCCCCTCTCTGCCTTCATCACAGACACAGCAGCCCCCCCCTCTCTGCCTTCATCACAGACACAGCAGGCCCCCCCTCTCTCTCTGCCTTCATCACAGACACAGCAGGCCCCCCCTCTCTCTCTGCCTTCATCACAGACACAGCAGCTCCCCCCCTCTCTCTGCCTTCATCACAGACACAACAGGCCCCCCCTCTCTCTCTGCCTTCATCACAGACACAGCAGGCCCCCCCTCTCTCTCTGCCTTCATCACAGACACAGCAGCCCCCCCCCTCTCTGCCTTCATCACAGACACAGCAGCCCCCCCTCTCTCTCTGCCTTCATCACAGACACAGCCGCCCCCCCCCCTCTCTCTGCCTTCATCACAGACACAGCAGCCCCCCCTCTCTCTCTGCCTTCATCACAGACACAACAGGCTCCCCCCCTCTCTCTGCCTTCATCACAGACACAGCAGGCCCCCCCTCTCTCTCTGCCTTCATCACAGACACAGCAGCCCCCCCCCCCTCTCTGCCTTCATCACAGACACAGCAGGGACCCCCCCTCTGCCTTCATCACAGACACAGCAGGCCCCCCCGTCTCTGCCTTCATCACAGACACAGCAGCCCCCCCCCCCTATCACTGCCCTCATCACAGACACAGCAGCCCCCCCCCTGTCTCTGCCTTCATCACAGACACAGCAGCTCCCCCCCCTCTCTCTGCCTTCATCACAGACACAGCAGCCCCCCCCCTGTCTCTGCCTTCATCACAGACACAGCAGCCCCCCCCCCTCTCTCTGCCTTCATCACAGACACAACAGGCCCCCCCTCTCTCTCTGCCTTCATCACAGACACAGCAGCCCCCCCCCCTCTCTGCCTTCATCACAGACACAGCAGGGACCCCCCCTCTGCCTTCATCACAGACACAGCAGGCCCCCCCGTCTCTGCCTTCATCACAGACACAGCAGCCCCCCCCCTATCACTGCCCTCATCACAGACACAGCAGCCCCCCCCCCCCTGTCTCTGCCTTCATCACAGACACAGCAGCTCCCCCCCTCTCTCTGCCTTCATCACAGACACAACAGGCCCCCCCTCTCTCTGCCTTCATCACAGACACAGCAGCCCCCCCCTCTCTCTGCCTTCATCACAGACACAACAGGCCCCCCCTCTCTCTGCCTTCATCACAGACACAGCAGCTCCCCCCCCTCTCTCTGCCTTCATCACAGACACAACAGGCCCCCCCTCTCTCTGCCTTCATCACAGACACAGCAGCCCCCCCCTCTCTGCCTTCATCACAGACACAGCAGCCCCCCCTCTCTCTGCCTTCATCACAGACACAGCAGGGCCCCCCCCCTCTCTCTGCCTTCATCATAGACACAGCAGGGACCCCCCCCCCCTCTCTGCCTTCATCACAGACACAGCAGCCCCCCCCCTCTCTCTGCCTTCATCACAGACACAACAGGCCCCCCCTCTCTCTCTGCCTTCATCACAGACACAGCAGCCCCCCCCCTCTCTGCCTTCATCACAGACACAGCAGGGACCCCCCCTCTGCCTTCATCACAGACACAGCAGCCCCCCCCGTCTCTGCCTTCATCACAGACACAGCAGCCCCCCCCCCTATCACTGCCCTCATCACAGACACAGCAGCCCCCCCCCCCTGTCTCTGCCTTCATCACAGACACAGCAGCTCCCCCCCTCTCTCTGCCTTCATCACAGACACAACAGGCCCCCCCTCTCTCTGCCTTCATCACAGACACAGCAGCCCCCCCCTCTCTCTGCCTTCATCACAGACACAACAGGCCCCCCCTCTCTCTGCCTTCATCACAGACACAGCAGCTCCCCCCCCTCTCTCTGCCTTCATCACAGACACAACAGGCCCCCCCTCTCTCTGCCTTCATCACAGACACAGCAGCCCCCCCCTCTCTGCCTTCATCACAGACACAGCAGCCCCCCCTCTCTCTGCCTTCATCACAGACACAGCAGGGCCCCCCCCCTCTCTCTGCCTTCATCATAGACACAGCAGGGACCCCCCCCCCCCTCTCTGCCTTCATCACAGACACAGCAGGGCACTCCCACTCCCTGGCGACCTGACTCACGGCGTCATCGGCCAACAAGCTCCCTTCATCGTCATCACTAAACACTGCCACTCCCCTAACTGCTTTCGTGAATTCTCGCCTGGTTAAACAAGATAAACACAATTAAACTTAGGCTACCGTACATCATAATCGAATAAGGCAAATTTCAACAAAATTACCTGCTAAATTTACTCAATTGGGTTTATGCACGAACAATAGTCCGCCACCCTTCTGTGAATATTTGGCAGCACCTCCCTAGAATCGAGTCATGAGACTCCGTGTGCCATTCCTGGGTAAACAAGCCTACGTGTTAAACAAGCATCATACTAATGATTATGTATATCATCAATAATTACTGCCATTCTCTCTAAATCACCCATCCTTATAATTATCATCCTCATAATTAAACACAGCCATTCTCTATCACCCATCCTCGCCATTAAACATTTCCATTCTCTCTCTCTGCCTCCCACCCTGTGGCACTACTCCGTTTATTCGAACCACATTAAAACTGAGCCCATTACAATTTTCAAAATAAACACAAATTTCAGGAAGTTGGCTAATTAAAAAAACCAAAGATCCAGCTTCGTAACACGTTAGCAGGAAGACAATGATGTGGAAAGCCATGGCATGTTGTGCCTACGCGTTTGAGCTGCCCCAGCGATTAAGACGACGTGTGAAGTGGCGGTACGGTAATGTATTCTGACCACATTGTGCCAGGGTGGGTTATTTTTGTCACAACATGTCTTCGCATCCTGGTTAAATCTGCTGTGACCTCATTGCATGGCACCTGGAGGTCGAGGTCAGGTTAAAGTTTAGGGTTGAGCTCGTAGGCTAACGTTAGATGTAATGCTACGGTAAGATGAATGATTACAGTCAGATTAATGAATAATGTCAAGGGAGGATTAAACATGAGCTCAGAATAGAAAGGGACATCGTAGACGTCATCCGAAGGGGACGACTCATTATGTTACGTCCCGCGTGCAGGGTGGACAAAGAGAGATTTCAGAACATCGCCCTGTATGTCAACAACGGTGGAGTCCAAGGACTAGAGGACATCTGAAGAAACATATGGCTCGATGACTTCAAACAAGAAGCAGAGAGTCTAGAACAGCGATTTCCAACCCATCGGGCCACAAGGCTGTAGGAAGTTGTCCGTGGAACTGTTGTAGAAACGAGTTACGGTCACAAAACACCAAATATTGTACCACGGAATTTAGTTTAGGGTTGACGGTGATCCAATGGTCCAGAAAGGTTGTGCGGACCACTGGTCTATAGAAGATGATCTGAAATGGGGAATCGCACTCCCATACGTGGTTAGGCTAGAAGATCGTGAATTGCTACTCTTTCTGCACAAGCAGACTAGATAGGCAGACATACAGTTGGAAGCAGCCATTAATGGGCTGCCAGCCTGTACCAACCCATCAGTAGTGTCCCCAAGGGATGAAATCAAGACAAGTCAAAAGATTAACATTTCAGACAAATTTTTAAATCTAAGCCCTGGATCCAATAAACTATTAAACCATCCTGAACTTTCTTGAATTTGAAGCTTTCGTGACTGCAGGAATCCATACTCTTTGGCTCTTTCGGTAAAGTCACGTAGGTGACGGACGCTTGTGTGCCCGAAACGTGATCTATTTTATTTTATACTTACGTGACTTTACCGAAAGAATCAAAGAGTATGGCATCCTGAACTTCATAACACATGTTTTTTTTGGGTTAGATCGCATAAATATATGAATGTGTCGTTAAACCCACCACCACCAGACACAGCTAATTAATAAGGTTTGTCATGTAAACAGAACATGCCAATTAGTTGTACAGCACACCTGTGTGTTGGAGAGCCAAGCCACAACATTTACAATATGAGTACGACGTTTTGCTAGTAATCACAAATAGCATCATCAGGCGACAGCCAGATTTGTGGAGAAGTTCTCCTGTTTCGTTCCTTAAATAGAGGGGTAATATCTGGTGTGGTGGCATGGTCATGAACTCTATCATCATCCGTTATTGTCATCTTTGTCACTGTCATCATCATAATTGCGAATACATTGAGATGCAAACCATCAGACATGTCACCGGTGACTGCCCAATACAACCAAGCGTACTCTGATGGAACAAGCAGACACCACTCATCTACCACTCTGGATGCTGCGGAATGGCTCGCAACATTAATAACACAATTGTAGTCTGTTGATTTATTTTCAAACACCATACGAAAGGAGGAGATGGTCATGAAGATCACCATTGAGGAGATGAAAACGGCCGAGCGTGCATAACGCTGCCTCCGCTGTGACCACGTCGCCGCGTGCCTTTTGCCAGGCTTTCAAGCCCCAGCGATGAACACACGTGCACATCGCTCGTGCACATCGCTCATGCGCCCCACGGTGTCCAGGGCTGAATGCTCGGTGTGGCGATTTCTGTGTCCGTGCCACAGAGAGAGACAGCCATGTCGGCGAATGTGGACGAGCAGCGTGCGCGCTACGAGGCGGCCGGCCAGGGCCACGTGTTCCGCTTCTGGGAGCAGCTGTCCCAGGGTCAGCGCGACACTCTGCTCTCCCAGCTGAAGGACATTGACCCCGAGGAGGTGGGGCGATCCTACCGGGCGATGCAACGTGGGCAGGTGAGACCCGTCACATCATCACCGAAGTTGTCATCGTGCATAGCTGGCATTACTGTATCATCATCATCGTCGTCGTCGTCATCATCATTCGTTGTTATCATTGTTCCTTATCGTTATTATCAAGATTATAAATGCCTTCATCATCATCGCAGCAGACTAATGCCTAGCGAGTGCTGCGTACTTAGCTAGATGGCAGCAGGCCATCGGAATGGTTGAGATGAGAAGTTGTTTTAAAGCGCTCTTCTTTGCCGAAGCATTTAGTCGTCCTGTAAGTGCATCGTCACAGTCATAGTAAGCATCGTCGACGTTATAATTGTCAACAACATTCACATCATCATCATTTCTGTCATCATTATCGCTATCTCCATTACATCGCGGTCATTGTCACTTTGCAACTAAGGTGGACATGACAGAGGCAAGAGGTTAACGTCATACTTCTTGCTGCAAACGTGAAAATAAAAAATATGTTGCAATGCGTCTCGGTTTGGAGATGCGAGCCTCTGTGGCTGTGAGTAGACCCAGTCCCTTGGGCCTATGTACGCTTCAACGCACAAATTACTCAAGTGTCCCCAACGCAACACATTTCAGTGGCGATTTCCAGAACAAATGAGAGGGGAAATAAACACAAAATTGGCCTTCGACCAAATCTTTGAGAATGCGCCCAATCTCATCAAAACCTCAGAAGCTGAGCATGGGTGAGCCGAATGATAGTGCTTGGATGGGCCACCATCACACGTGGTTACAAAGCGGGCAGCAGAGGGAAGTACAGCAACATTCACTGTTGTACTGGACTTCTATGCTCTCACGTCTGTGCTCCCCGCCTTCACCAACGCACACAATTACGAGCGCGGTGAAGTACATCGTTCAGGTTCAATGCCCCACGCCTCGCACTGTGTGGGAAGGCGGTCATCCAGCAGTGGATTGACAATAGTTCTGCCTGCACGTATGCAATTGCAGGCGGGCAGCGATGGTGACTTTTTGACCCCTGTTTTAAAACTATTAAACTATTTTTTTTACTTTACCAGCTAGGGCCCACTGAGCTATATAGTTGTTTTTCAGAAGTGACCTGTGCACAAATGATAGCTCAATGAAGTGGCGTTATTATTTATAGCAGCCAAATACTCTAAACGCATGTTGATTCTAAATGTGGAAATCGGAGGACCCGAAGAAAATCCACGCGACTACGGGGAGAGAGAGAACATGCAAACTACATATACACAGCAGGCGTCAGGGTAAAGATCGAACCCATGACCTCCTAAGTACCAGGCGAGGTAGTTAACATCTCGCCACCATGGAGCCCACTGTTACGGTGTGTGTGTACCGTGCCCCACGCGGTTCCTGGGTGACCCCTGCCCCCTGCACAGGGGGAGTCCGAGGCTCCGGAGGACGTGAAGCCGGTGCCGGAGGACGCGTTTGGCAGCATGTCGCGCTCCCCCGCCAGCCTGCTCAGCCAGTGGGAAAAGCAAGGTGAGCGCCGAGCCGTGCTGGTTTGGCTCGTATAGCCCCGCCCCACCACCCTGCGCCCCGCCCCCACCCCCGCTCCCCCCGTGCCCCCCACGGCGTCCAGCCCCGCCCGCACCCCCACCCGCCCAAAATGTCTCTTAGCACAGACATATTAACAATAATACATTTGGTAATCATACATAACTATCATATCAAGTGTGCTACGTTTCACAGACAGGTGCAGCCTGTCTATAGGGGGCGATGTGGTTTTCCTCGAGTCAGTCATTTGCGGGGATGTCGTTGCTAAAATGTGGAACGTGACACTGGCACACATCGCCTAATCTCTTTCGAATGACGTCGCGGGAACCTTAATGTCCACCGTGAAGCGGACGGCGGGACGCGGTTTGCTTCATACACACGCGTTGTGTTCACGAGGGCTCCCGCCACGGTGAGTGACACCACCGCTACCCGGTGGCGATTGACAACTGTCGTTGCTGCCGTTTTGTTTGGCGTAGTTGCGGATGCTGTGGGTTGTTGTGCGCTGCCCTAGGCCTGGAGCAGATCGCCGAGGGGCGGATGGCGGTGTTGCTGCTGGCCGGAGGGCAGGGCACGCGTCTCGGCATGTCGTGCCCCAAGGGCATGGTGTCGGTGGGACTGCCCTCGGGGAAGTCCCTCTTTCAGCTCCAGGCAGAGCGCATTCGTGCCCTGCAGAGGCTGGCCGGCACCGCTAAGCCCGTGCCCTGGTGGGTGTTCCACAGTGCGTGTGAGTGGTCCCGGCGGAGGGCTTTAGTTGGTACCAATGCATAGGGCTTCATGGCCATGCAGTGTAGCTTTCTTCCTGAAGAGGTTTTCCGAGCAGCGAAACTTTGGACATCGTCCCGAACAACGCGAGGCACAACGCGAACGCACGTCGGAGAGTTTTAAGTAGCTTCGCAAAAGAGAGGTGATGAACGTACCCACTGGGCCGGTTATTTGCCATGCACCAAATTAATGTGCTGCGCTTGAGCTAATTGATGTTATTGTTCCACCTTTCACAGTGGCCATCCTCTAAGCTGCCTTTCTTTCACTCTCCTGCCTGTCATCCCATCATCGTTCCTCCTTTTAGTGAGAGGAGGTCCCGCCCCAAGCGTTGTTAATCTGTTGTGAATCGCAGCGTTATTGACGGTCGGGGGTGGGTGGTGGAGGACCATTTGCATTGCATATCGTTGGCTCGCGTGTCGCACCAGGTACATCGTGACGAGTGCCCACACACATGCCCCCACCGAGGCTTTCTTCCGGGAGCATGCCTGGTTCGGGCTGGATCCGGACTCGGTGCGCTTCTTCCAGCAAGGGCAGCTGCCGGCGCTCACCATCTCCGGCAAAATCATCCTGCAGGACAAGGGGCTCATAGCCATGGCTCCCAGTGAGAGGCTCGCACCAGGGGGGGGGGGGGGGTCGCACGGTGGGGTCGCAAGGGTGGGTTGCACGGGGGGGTCGCACGGGGCGGTCACAGTGGGGGGTCGTATGGGAGGGTCAGATTGCTTTGATGAGGCGTGGCACAGTGCATAGCTTATACAGGAAAATAGAGTTTTTTGGTCCATATGGCATACAGCCGTTTCAATACAGGCAAACAAATGTTTGTCTGTTTGTGTTTCTCCCTTGTGATGCAACTTTGTAGGATGAATGTTGAGATTTAAAATGGCACGTAATGACCAATAAGGCCTAAATTGGTCTGGAATGAGGTTGGCACTGATAAGGGGTTGACAGGTATGTGGCCCGTGGGCTTTGCAATGAAGAACACTGCGTGCGCGTGTGCATGTGTGTGTGTGTGCTGTGCGCGTGGCAGATGGTAACGGCGGCGTGTACCGCGCACTCAGCTCGTCGGGCGCGCTGGCCGACATGCAGGCACGCGGTGTGCGCCATGTGCACGCCTACTGCGTGGACAACGTGCTGGTGCGTGTCGGGGATCCTGTATTCCTCGGCTTCTGTATCCACAAGAACGCCGACTGCGGCGCCGAGGTGAGATGAATCCTCGTGTGCTCGTGATGAGTGTCACGCGCCACGTCGTCGGTGTGATGGGCAATATTGACATGAGTAAGAGATGCTCACGAAATGTTGCACCCCTTTGGTTCAACGTGCACAGCGAACATGCACAGCAGACGCAAGACTAAGATGAGAATACTCATCACCATGTAGCCTTAACAGACCGTTGGGGGCAGGAGCTGTGGTGCTAGCCACTCAACACACACGAGGTGTTGAGTGGATAGCACCACTCATGTGTTATAGCATGCTGTGCTATGACACGGCGTGGCCGTGTGTGGTGCAGGTGGTGGAGAAGGTGGACCCCACAGAGCCTGTGGGCGTGGTGTGCCGGGTGGGCGACCACTATCGCGTGCTCGAGTACAGCGAGATCTCGTCCGAGTTGGCGTCACGGCGGGGCACCCACGGCCGCCTGGAGTTCAGCGCCGCCAGCATCTGCAACCACTACTTCAGCGTCGATTTCCTGCAGGAGGTGGTGCGGTAAGTGTGCACGTCTGCACGTCAAGCACAGCCGCTCCCATTCGCCTGCCCAGAGTCTTTCAGTGCCGCTCCAATCAGCCGGTGCCTAGGTCAGTCGGTCCCATGATCCCCTGCTCAGGGAGGCTTCACCACTCCGTCATTCGAGCCACTGAGTCTGTTTGTCCCTTGAGCCTCTTTAGTCAGGGATCCTTCACCACTGCGTACGACAATTTAGATTCTATCTTGATTTGAAGCTTTTGTGACTGCATGAATCTATACTCTCTGGTTCTTTCGGTAAAGTCACGTAGATAGAAAAAAATAAGAATTTATAAGAATTTATTATTTTTTCTATCTACGTGACTTTACCGAAAGAACCAGAGAATTTAGATTCTCTCTACATCGGTAGAGAGAATCTAAATTGGTCCTGGGTCTCCCTGAGGGCAACTCGGACCTTAAAATAAGCACCTGGTATCTGGTGCGTAAGCGTCAGCACTGGGGAGACAAAGGTAGTCAGGCGTGGTGAATTGTACACCATCACTCCCTTGTGTGCCGTGCTGGCCTAAATAGGTTATCGCGAACAAAACTTGCCTCAGCATCATTTATAATTGATTTGTCGGTCAGATTGCATGAGTAAAATGTGTGTCATAAACCCTCCTCCACCCAACACGGCCAATTAATAAAGTTGTCACATGAACAAATGTGACAATTTATTACTGCTTTAGCACCACGAGTGTGTTGTTGGAGAGCAATTCACACACATTCATTAATATGGTTCGATGTTTTGCTGGTGGTTCCATCCAGCATCTTCAGGCAATTCCCAGAAGCCTGAAAATGTCCTCTAGTCTTGGGCCTTATATAGGTGGTGTAATGTCATCAATGTGCGCTCTCACCCAAAAATCTACTACGAATCATGTTGATCGCAAAAGCCTCTGTGCGTTAAACTTGCCTCGACGGCCTACGTCGGCTATACGATGGATCCTTTGCATGTTTTATTTTTTGTTTCAACCAGGCAGTACGAGCCGCAGATGCTGTACCACGTAGCGCACAAGAAGGTGGGCTACGTGGACGACGAGGGTCGACCCGTGGCACCCGACAAGCCCAACGGCATCAAGATGGAGAAGTTCATCTTTGACGTATTCCCATTCTCAAAGTGAGGGGCACTCTCGCCAGGCGGTGCCACCTCGCCAGGTGTCACTTGTTTACCCTTCCGCCCTCTTTGTAGCCCGGCACCTGGCCCGTTGTTATGGCCCCTGGTGCAGTTGAAATTCCTACACCAAACTCAATGGCGACAGATGATAGCTCAACGAAGTTGCTTATCGTATGGAAATGTATATCAGCCAGATACTCAGAACGCACGTTGATTCTAAAAGTGGAAGGAAAAACTGGAGGACGCGGAGAAAAATCCACACGACCACGGGGAGAGCATGCAAACTGCAAATATAAAGGCGTCAGGGTCAGGATCAAACCCACAATCTCCTGCATACCAGGCGAGGTATTTAACATCTCGCTACTCTCCACAGTGCAGCAGTAATCGCCATCTGGGTAATGGTCGAGCATTGGGAATTCATCATAAGCCATTTTGTGGTGTCGTCACTATCCTTTGGGATTTTTCCTATCACAGATATCGCCTTGTTGTTTAGCAAGTATGCCAAGTAACATTTTGCTCCCTATGCAATTGGATACTCTTGTGATTTGAGGGTCACAATTCACTTATCAACTCTTCTTTTTATCATTTGCATTGTGTTTATTTCGTTCCATCAGCCTCAAGGTGATTTTACATTGTATCAAATTTTCACGAAAGATACATTACTGATTTTTAATTGCATGATTCATACACGTATATATGTTTAGAGTAAGAAGATACTTTAGGTGATGAACTGCCAAATCATTACACGCCAAAGGTTAATTATATTGTCCTGACTATGTACCAAATTCACATAATGACAAAATGCCCCAAACAAAACACGTTGGCGATTTACTCCATTTCTAGTAACGGAGATCTCACCACACATTCACCAACAGAAAATCATAACAACAGGAAATGTACCTGCCAACGCATGAATCGGCTCCGATATCTCGTGACCTGCCTCTGATTGAGCAAGGCCCTTGACTGGTCCTGGCTGCCTGTGGGCCTGGGTCCGATGGCCCACGCCCTTGACGCGTTTAAGCGTGCGTACTCGCCCTGTTACAGGAACTTTGCCGTGTTCGAGGTGCTGCGTGAGGACGCCTTCTCGCCGCTGAAGAATGCGGACAAGCCGGGTCAGGTGGATTGTCCGAGTACGGCGCGGAAGGCCGTGTACAGCCTGCACGCACACTGGGTGGAGAAGGCGGGGGGCCACGTGAGCAGGTTCGTGACATCATCATCATTATTATTATTGTTAGCCTGGTGGTGGTGGCTGTGCACGTGTCCTGTAATCCAGCACTGTGGAGGGGAGGGCCAGTGGATCACGGTCATGTTGTGAAACTCCCTTCTCATGAGCATCGAGGTGCCATAACCTTGCTCGCCGGGAGAAGGCAGTACAGCAAAAATGTGGACTTCACCTGTTCCATCTGTATGGGACAAAGTGTTTCCCCTACACACACGTGGGTTTTCTCCGGTGCTGTAGTTTTCTCCCAGATATAAGCCTTCATTAATTGATCGATAACACCTTAATAAATAGAGGACTGCAGAGCTTTGGCAGTTTTTGGCGCCGGCTCATTGCGTAGCTGCCTTCCCGCTTGTCTGTGGTTCTTTGCACCTCTGAGTCGTCGTCTCTCTACGACAGGAAGCGAATACTGTGCGTGTTTATATTATTTTTACTACTGCTATTTTAATTTTACCAGGTAAGGCCCACTGAACTATAAAGCTCTTTATCAGAAGCGACCTGGCCACAAATGATAGCTCAACAAAGTAGCTGATCATGTGGAAATTTATATCGCTAAATACTCTAAACGCGTGATGTTCATTCTAAATGTGGAGGGAAAAACCGGAGGACCCGGAGAAAAATCCACGTGACCACGGGGAGAGAGAACATGCAAACTCCAAATATACATGCATCAAGGTCATGATCAAACCCACGAACTCCTGTATACCAGGCAAAGTAGTTAACATCTCGCCACCGTCGGGGAATCTTTAAGGTCCACTGTGAAGCAGTCAGCGAGTATTATTACAATGGTTAATACACCAGCATTATTAACCAGGGAGGCCGAGGGAATCGAACCGTGATTCTCTACAACAAGCGGCGAACATGCAAATCTGGGCCATGGTAGAACCTATTCAACAGCTGCTAAATCTTACTGAGCATAGTCAGACAGCTGCAAGTTAAAATCCCTGCTGGCATTAACTCTACCTATCATTATTTCCACATCTGTAAAATGCATGAGTCAAAAGCAGATTTCCTATTAACCCTTTCGTACACGTACATACACGTACATCATCAAAATTAAACCAGAAGAAAATTATTACGTAACTTTATCAGTACCGAGGCTCCCACAAGGCGCATATGGCACAGTTTGGCGCCAGCTATCATAGAGTGCGGTCGTGTCGCTAGAGTTCTCTGCGGTGAGTACAATGTCTTTAAAAACAACGGCGTTATGCCTCTCTAAATAAAATTAACGCTAACTGCTTGCGTATTCTGAGATTGAGCAGTGAACAGGACACCCACCATGCAACTGGCAGATGTCTCGAAATGGAAAAGGGTTAAAGATACTGATATATGTAATCGGAATGTGGAATTTCCACCAATGGAGATAAGAACCTCCCAACACCCGTTTAAGCAAGGACACACTTTTTTCTTGCAGAAGTGGCGTGAAGTGGAATACTTCAAAGATTGATATTCACTTGAAAATGTTTGTTTTTGTTCACAGTGGCTCTGGCGGAGTGGTGTGTGAGATATCGCCACTTGTGTCCTACGCTGGTGAGGTAGGTACCACTGGCAGCTGAAAGAAGGGACTTTGCTAGCAATTGTTGTAATAAGTGTTTTGTTCATTTGCACAGAGTGCGGGAAGTGACTGTGTTAACACTTAGTATTTCCAAGTGTCCGTATAAACATTTAGGACAAGGCTTGTCTCATTGCTACTGTTCAGAAGCGTGGGATTTGTTTTTTTAGCAGAGGTCAAGCTTACTAGCAGTCTGTATTTATTATTCTCACTAAACACGAGAAGAGTGTAATTCCTGTAGCCGTCCAATTTTTGGCAGGTCAGCAAAATATGCGCAGTATTGGATAAAAGGGACATCATCATTAGTATACTGGCATCGTGCCACACACCTATAATCCCATTGGTGGTGGAACATACGTACAGTAATTCACTGACATAATGTATGCAAGACACCCCGAGACATCTATTATTTTTTAAAAGAATGCAACATAGCATGGACATCTAATAGGTTGCAATAGTGTATGTGGGCTTTTCTTGGCAACTCAAATTTCCTCCCACATCTTTGAGGGGTCCTTCACCGAGAAGTGGATTGATATTGCTGTTCATAATATTGTAAAAATAAGCCGTATTTTCCGAATGGTATCACAAAGTCCTGAGCCGATTGTGACTTCTGCCACTGCTAATGAGAATTAGGTCATTGTGTAGTTTGGCTGGTGGACTTTGGGACCGTATATAACAATCCACTCATTGTGTAAAACCTGACTATACCAAGTAATTGGGCAAGAAAGATATTATTCAGGGGCCACAGCCGCACTCCTGGAAGCTGGGGGGTGTCCTACGAACAATTGGTTCTCGGTGGTTATCGGTGACGTTGCAGATCTGCGAAGTTCGCGCCCCCCCCCCCCCCCCCCCCCCGTTCATGGCCCAGCGGCGATGAGTTCGCTGCTTGTTTCAGAAGTTCACAGTCCGAAGCCAGCGGCTGCCCCGATTAATACTGCGTGTGGACATTAAAGATCCCCTGACGTCATTGGCAAGGCTAGGCCATTGTGTGCCGGTGTCAGGGGCCACGTTTGTCAATTTCTAGAATTGCGCAAAGCAATCGTCGCCCTCCACTGACAAGCTGCCTGTTTGCAGGTCAGTTGCTTTGTCACCTCGTGCTACAGGGTCAGCTGCCACTGGGGGTGCCCTGTCAAATGTTTGACATGAGCCGTGATGTAATTCACATCTACGCAACGACTGTCTATTGACTCAGTACTGAGACCGACTGTTTTTTTAACCGTCTCTTTAAAGGTTTCATCATCAGCATGAACAGCATTTGTGTCGCCTTGTTGACTCAAACAAAACCATGATTATAATAGAGTTTTTTTTTTAGGTCATTCAAATATAAATGTGTCGTTAAACCCGTCACCACCTGACACAGCCAATCTAACTCAAAAACTTCTCATAGATAATATTGGTCGCGAAGGCCTATATGTAAAAAAAAAACCGTGATTTTTATCCAAAATATTGTCAGTATTTCTTAGGCATGACACCGAGGACATCCACCGAGAATATTAAAATGTGACACAGAAGACATCCAGAGTGGCCGTGCAGGGGAGAGGAAATCATGTGTAACGGTCGAGTTCAATGTGTACCACTCTCCCTTACCCTGGCAGGCTCTGCAAGAACGCGTCAAGGGCAAGACTTTCCCTTCACCATTCGTTCTGGATTAGTAGAGAGTTTGAAGAAATGGCCGTGCAAACAAAAACCTTCCCCTCCTGCTATAAATACAATAACACTGCCATCACAATGTGAGAAACGGTAGTATTATATTTTTCTGTTGCAATATATACAGTGATCTAAATGAGTTTTACTGTGTAACACAATTAACTCTTTAATGGTCGTATTTATTCCAAAGGAATCCCATTCATTTTTTAAATTTGGTTCGGTTTACATTGTTGCCTATCCTGATCTCTCTAGAGCTCTGCTTCTGTATCATTCGTTGTCTTTGTTTTTTTATTTGTTTGTGAAAACTACTCACTTTGGTTGCCATGGAAATGTTGAAATAACAATATGCAAGGTGTGACTGCCTTTGTGTGAATATGAGCCACATGTAATCATTTAATGCAACATTCACATTTGTGGATGACACCGTTTATTCATAATTGAGATGGGGGAGGGGGTGCACCGCGTAAAATTGTGTTGTAAACCCTCCTCCACCCGATAAAGGCAATTAATAAAAGTGTCAGATTCATAAAACGTGCCAAATGTATTCCTGCTTCAGAACCACCAGTGTGTTGGAGAGTAATCGTACAAAATTGAAATGGGTGCTACGTTTCACTGGAGATTACATCCAGCATATTCAGGTTAACAAGAACCCGGATAACACAATTACCTGAAGTCACAATAATAAGTGTCTAAGGATTTCTTTAATTGCAAAAGGGAACGTGTTTTATTATTCAAATCGTTTTTCAGGAGCATTTGCTTAAACAAGGCAACCTCAAACTGCTTTTGACTTCACATAATCACCAATTAATAGGGCCTCATCAAAGCCACGCCTGTGACCAACACAACCGGAATGTGCCCAATCTCGTGAAATCTCACAAGTTCGGCAGGGTTGAGCCTGGATGACTCTGGGATGGGTGACTCACCATACATGCAAGGTCTGTCATAAGCTGCCATGTAATCTGCTGGGCAGCAGATGGCATTGTACGAACCCCCCATAAACCAGTGTGGTGCAATATGGTCAATTTAATTCCCACAATGCTCTCATCCAGGAGTGGATTGGCAAAGGATTGGCAGATTTCACAGGGAGGTTGTATATACGGCTCATTGGGCAATGGTTGAAATGTTAAAATCATTCTTAACTTTGGAGCTTTCGTGACTGCAGGAATTATTCTTTGGTTCTTTCGGTAAAGTCACGTATAAAGAAAAAATAATATTATTATTATGTTAAAATCATGTTTTCATTGAGATAATGGCAATGGCTGAAGCAGCACAAACATTAGTTTTATTTCTTTTATCGCCTTTGTAAATTTTGGGAATGGAATGCCATAAGTTTTAATAAACAGGATGCCGTGTTTTAAAGTGATGTATGTAGATTCTTTGGTTTCCAAATGTATGTTAATCACACTATCCCACACCACACTTGTGTATTTTCATTTGTCAAGCAAATGCGCACCAAGGTGAAATTGTATGTTTAGCATGGAAACGTCACAACACATTGCAAATCTTTCTTTTGTGCGTACAAAATATGTACGATAGGGTGTTTATGAACTTTTGAAAAGGCTATAGGCAGGGCTTAATTTCTCAATGATTATTTTCCAGTTTGCTGGTAGGCATATATGCCAACAACCCCTACATACAAGAGTTAGTAGTATCTGCACACGGGGTGGGGGGGGGGGGCATCAGTGGGGGCGACGCGCTAAGCACTGAGAATCCCTCAGCAGAAGCTATAATCAAGCGCCCACAGGCCGCCGAAATTCCAGTTTCCCAAAATGCCATTTCCCATTCATAACGGGTGAAAATGTTCAGCGTTTTTAATTAATATTAGGAATTATGAGATTTTGGACTTACATTTTTGTTTGTAAATTCGAGCAAAAAAATAAAACATTTACAGAAGATATAATTTTTAAACGTAAGGAAGTTTAGGGCCATCCATAAATGACGTCACGCACCTAGGGGGGGAGGGGGGTCAGACATTTGTGACGATGTGTGACGAGGGGGGAGGGGGGGCTTGAGAAATGTGACGTCACATCAAAATGCGCAACTTTAAATAAATATAAACAACACGTTCTGCTTCATTAAATAGAATTGTTATAAACAACACTAATTTAGTTAAATTTTCATTATTAATTATTTGATTACTTAGATTTACTAAGGTCACCTTTTATTTATTGCATGAAGGAGTATTTTGCTTCTCCATGGGAGAATGCTTCTCCATGGGAGAATGGAGAAGCATACATTTTGTTAAAAAATTGAATGATTGTTATTAAACATTTTTATTTTTATGATTCTACCTGGGCTTTTCATTCTGTGTAATGAATACGTGATTGTTATAATTGTACTCTCCATTTTGCTTCGTTCTACTATAAAGTTTCAAGTATTTTTATGAGTTATAATTACTTTTAATATTTTATAATTATAAGAGAATTTCAATAAAATATTCTGAACATCTGCAGTTTTAGTTAGACGTTGAATATTTTCAAGTGAATTTTATGCAAAATTTCAGCTTTCCAACGCCTCCTTTTTAATGCATGTTTTCTCCTACAACATCAGAGTGCAGCGCCACATTAAATACGCACTACAATGACAATAGTTTAAGTTATTTGAAGCATGTTTTATTTTCAAAATGGAAATATGGTTGGGGGGGGCAGAGCTTTGTGACGTCATATTTGAGGGGGGGGTCTGACGTTCAAAAATCGGCCGAAATCACGTGACATCGTTTATGGACGGCCCCTTTAGAGGCTGTTTTTTTTCTTCTTACGGTACGAAATGTTACCGTACTGGTACGGTACGCATTTTTTTTCCAAAGATATGTACCGTTCGCACGTGGGCGTGCGAACGGCAGTCACGTGGCCCCACTGCGGTGACGTCACGCGTGCAATGCCCCGGCGATCGCCCCCACCGCAAGTTTAACCTGACCGCGCAATAACATTTATTTTTAGTTTACGGCAAAAATAAAAATTACTTATCCTCTATTAGCATTTTAGTGTGGAAATAAAAGTGTATCGGTACGCTCTCTCCGTTAGTAAAACTAAAATAGTAAAAAAAACATGTTTTACGAATACTGTATCCGGAACTCAATGTGACCTCTGACCCAACGTGAAGCGTAGGCCTAGTGGCGCTGGACGAGGCGGCGTGCGGGTAAGAAACAAAACTCCTCGCGAATTTCCCACTCGTTTTGTTAACGCGCGCACATACACCACACGGCACCACCGAAGCAGCGGCAAATGTTACCGTCGTTGCGAGCGCACGCAACAAGGGGCAGAGGCGTAGGCGGAAGGCGGCTGACGAGGGGAGAACGCACCACGGGCCTCGCGTTCGCTGCCGAACAGCGTTGACCGCCGCCGTTCTGTCGAGTGGCCGGGGGGGTGGGGTTAGAAGTCTATATTCTTAGATTTTTTTTGTCGGTAAAGTCACGTAGGTAAAACATTAAAAATAATAAAAATCACGACGTTTCGGAGTCAACACAAGCTTCCGTCTTCATTCTAGATTTGAAGCTTTCGTGACTGCAAGGATTCATATTCTTAGGTTCTTTCGGTAAAGTCACCGTGTAGGTAAAACAATTAACCGTCACAGCACGACTGCTGCATCAAGTGAGAGTAATTTTAATTTTTTACCTACGTGACTTTACCGAAAGAACCTAAGAATATGAATCCTTGCAGTCACGAAAGCTTCAAATCTAGGGTTAGAAGTCTCTCCACCACGAGAGAGGGAGAATAGAGAGAGAGCTTTCGAGAGAACCCCCTCTCTACACCCTCGTCGCATACCGGTCAACCCCCGTGTTGCAGACCAATTCAGACCTTATTGGTCACGCCGTGCCCCTTATACATCTCAACGTTCGTCGTGCAAAGTCCCATCGTAAGGGAGAAACGCAAATGGATAGACACAAATTTTGTTTTATTGTTGCTCGTATTGAAACGCTCTGTGCGCCTTATGGATCTGAAAACTCAATTTTCACGGTACAAGAATAAGGGGGTAAATCGTGTGGGTGGACACGGTTTGTAGCTCATCGAGTGTTAGAGGGTAGTACGTGGGTTCAAACTCTAGTACTTTGGTTCAAACTCTGACGCCTGCGGTATATGTGGAGTTTGTATGCGAACTCTCCTTGTGGTCTACCATGGCCCAGGTTTGCACGTTCGCCGCTTGTTGTAGAGGTTCACGGTTCGATTCCATCGGCCTCCCTGGTTAATAATGCGGGTGTATTAACCATTGTAATAATACTCGCTGACTGCTTCACAGTGGACGTTAAAGATTCCCCCGATGGTGGCGAGATGTTAACTACTTTGCCTGGTATACAGGAGTTAGTGGGTTTGATAATGACCTTGACGCATGTATATGTGGAGTTTGTATGCTTACTCTCCTCGTGGTCACTGAATGGATTTTTCTCCGGGTCCTCCTGGTTTTTTTCCACCACCACATTTAGAATCAACATCACGCGTTTCGAGTATTTGTGCTGCTATACGGTTTGCACGTGATAATCTATTTCGTAAGGATGTTATTGTGGCCAGGTCACTTCTGAAACAGAGTTGTAGGGTATAGCTCAGTGGGCCTTACCTGGTAAAGTAAAAACGTAATTGAGTATCATCTGGAGTTTAAAGATGGGGGATTTTGAGAGGGCGTAGAGCAGAAGCGCTGCAGCAGTCAGGATATGATGAATGCGTGGATAAGGGTCTCGACAGTAGCTGGACTAAGAAAGTGGCCGAGTTCACGTAACATTAACTCACGTATTATATTCATTTTCTATATATATGAAAGGGAAATCTGTGATTATGTGTGTCTGTTCGAAATGTTTGGCATACTTCCCGACATGCAACAAACGTGAAATTTGGCATGTGGGTAGCTTCCAGACTGTACACAATGCAAAAAGTATAAAAATTGACTTTTGTATTTGAGGGGCAGGGGAGAATAATGGATATATTTTGCACGCAAGTGAGTGGTGACGTCACATCTCTGTCATGTCACCCGCATGCGGCAGCGTCACGCAGTGTGCCTGCTGACGTCACGCCCCCCCCCCCCTAAACCCTCCGCGTAGGCCGTGTATCCCGCACATGCGCGGCTGGGGGGGGGGGAAATAATGTATATAATATACTAGGTTACAAACTTTTAATTTGCTATGTGGCTAGCTCCCATACTGTACACAATGTAAAACGTATAAAAATAGACTTTTGTATTTGGGGGGGGGGGGGGGGGAATGACCATGAAGTGTGTGACGTCATACCCCATACAGGACTAGCGAGAATCGATATCTGGTGAGCGTTTGTGGTATCGATTAAACGGGAATAGGCCAATTCTAAATAAATGTACATCCTTCGAATCCTTTGCGCGATTTATAGAACGGAATCTTGGCCCGCGAGCGTAAGTTTTTTTTCCACCGCGCGTTGGATTTTGTTTTAATTAATAAGGTAATGATCAAAGTTTTTTTTCATTTGTATATATTATGTTTTTAAGTTTTTAGTAGTTTATAAATATATTTTTCCCCTGGGCAACGCCGGGTACTTCCCGCTAGTAATATATACATGCTGTTTAGAAATCAAACAAAATCACTTTACATTTGTGTATGTACAATCGTAATAATAACATGTTCATAATGATAACTTATATAGCACTTAAATAGAAATCACGTTACTATAATGTTTGGTTATTTATAACGGTGTATGACTGTCCCTGTAGATTTGTATCCAATCATAGACCAGATATGTGTCCACAAAGTCACAGTGTCTTGAATAGTGCTTACCCTATTTTCCGTCCTTCCCAATTCTTGCTTCTTTAAATTTCACTTAATAACAAATGAAGTCATGCAACTTGTTTAGGGGATATGGATAGGGCTTATGGTTAGAGGTTAGGTTTAAGATCTTCGGGGTTAGGGTGAGCTTTTTTGGGAATTTCTACTACGAGTTCAGGGCTGTGAATTGGAGATGAGCACCACCTCAATGCTCATTCGAGCATTGAGTTTATCAGCATTTTCACTTGGGGGTTATAGTTTAGCGTTAGTGACTCGGTTTGAGACAATAGTGTCTAATGGGAGGAGAGAGGATTGAGATGAGGCAGTAGTTATTTGGGTAATCCGTAGCAGCGGGCGTACGAAGGGGTTTTCCAATGAGGTTTGCCGCACGGTGTAGGGCAAAGATGATAAGGCCATCGGCACCATCACCAGAATAACTTTTTTTTAATTGGAGGAGAGCATGGTTAAGACTTCAAGGCCTGACATTGGTAGGAATTTAAATTTGTTTTTAGTGGGGGGGGGGGGGGGGGTAAAAGGTCAATTTGAGGGTCAAAACGGGTACAATCGGACCGGGGATTCTACCAAATAAATGGCCTGCAGATACAAAGTGTGCGTTAAACCCATTTCAGAATTGGAGTTTGATCAATTAGACAACTGCCACTTTGCAAGAGCCTTGGCTGTACCCCAGTCAGACATTTTACCTTCAAGGGTCTTCGTGACTTTCCCGAAAAGTTTGGAATCATCTTGTAAATCTAAGAGTGTCCTGGAAATACCGGTGTTTAGTCTGCCGAATTAGCTTGGTACAGCAGTTCCTTAATACTCTGTAATTGGTCCAGTTTGAGTGCAAATTAGTTTATTAGGGAGCTGTGTTTTTAATGCGGATAAGTTGGGAGATTTCCAGAGCCTGGTTTCCCTTAACTTTGAACTTTTTCAATGCAGTGTGTTTGTCACATATGGAGCGAATGGTCTTTCTAAAGCAAATCTATGTGGTGTCTCAGGTGGGGATTTCACAGGCAATAGATACATTGGAATTGGCAATATCGTGGGCAAAGGCCTGATTATTGAAACACTTCAAGGAACGTTTGAAGATGATTGTATATGAGAATGTATGTCGCTTTACTTGTCTGGTACCAAATATGATAGAATGATTGCTAAGTTGATTTCCCAGGACAGCCACTTAAAACAACTTTTCGGGAACATTTGACATAATGACATCGAGAATTGAATTGCGATCTGGATTTTTCATGTTGGGCCACGTCAGTGAGCAGATGAGTTGGGAAAGATTGAATTCGTCATTGAGCGTTCAGGCTTCCACCAGGGAATTGTCTCGGTCAGTTCCAGTTTGAAGTCAGCAGTATTAATCAGTCCTCCTCAGGAAGGGCTGAGATGGAGCTCAAGAGGAGTTCTAGTGACTCAGAGCTATGTTTTTTTCCACAGTCGATATCAGCTCATGAGGATGAAATGTCATTTGTCGAGGAGTTTATTTCCAGTAAGAAGGCTTCAAAATGGTTCTGGTCCATGGTGGATTGGAGTAAGAAACATGCGATGTCACTTCGGACCTAGGTCAGGATGCCACTGCCTTTTAAAGTCGTAAGGAGTTGAAGTTATCTATACCAAGTGTGTCAATGTGTGTGTTTTTTACGTGAGAGACAAGTTTCAGCAACAATGTCTGGGCAGAGGTTGTCAAATTAAATTTTGAGATTGTCTAGCTTTTTTTGAGATATCTGGAATATTCATTTGAAGGATTCCCAGACCAGAATGCCTAGCAAATTTAGAAGCATTCAATTAAAGAGAGAAAGGAAGAAGCGGTAAAAGATCTGGGATGCATTCTATTCCATCTAGAGGGAAGAAAAGCAAGACAAGTAGTCTGCTGAAAGATTTTTCGCGAGATTAACTGGTAGGGCTAAATTAGGGAGGTTTTTTGCAGCACAGGAGAGAAGAGAGGATAAGTTGGGAAAGAAACTAAGGAGTTGTGAGAAAGGGAGAGAGAAGAACGGAGAGGAGGTGGAGAGCACTGTGCTGCGTAGATTTTTTTACACTCCACCGACCCGGCATAGCCAACCACACAATGCTGTCACGTGTCCAGGTGTTTTAATGTCAATTATTATTGTGTCACCTCACTGGGAAATTGAAGAGCAATTCTAATAACAAAATTTATCAACAGACACGACAACTTTTGTTTGTAAATTTGCTCATTATCATGAGGGATAAATACCAGGGCCTGAAAATATGAATCTTGGAATTGAGATAAACTGAATCAGTTGATAAAACTTCCATAATTATGCGCCACGACATTAGAGGGAACAGCCAATCATATTTCAAGTAAGTTTTAGCAATAATTTATTTATGTATGTTGAACTTCTTTCGCACCATACATAGCCAACCATGCTAATTGGAAGTACAATTAGATTATTACATTGTCCAAATATAATGGACTAGCATTACTACCCGGCTTCGCCCAGGACTTTGATTCACCACGCCCGGCCGCCTTTGTCTCCCCATTGGCGATGTTCACACCACACCAGTTATTCGTTTGAGGCTGAGTCGACCTAGGGGAGGCCCAGGATCGGTTTAAAGAATCGTCACCGGTGGTGGCCGTGAGCAGGAATCAAAGTCGGGTCGCCGGGTTCGTAGCGCAGCGCGCTAACCACTACACTACCGCTCCCCCCACACACACACGCGCGCGCGTCCATAGGTACACATACACGCGCTTGCTGCAGACACACAACTTTCAGGGTGCGTACGGCAGGAAACGGCTAAAATAAAAACCAATGCTGCGCGAAGAACGCCTTAGACCTGCAACACATTTGTATTTCACTTTACCCGCGGAGGGTTGGGGGGGGTGCGTGACATCAGCAGGCACACTCCATTACGCTTCCGCATACGGGTCACATGACAGATGTGACGTCACAGCTCACTTGCCGTGCAAAATATATGCATTATTGCGCCCCCCCCAAAAAAATACAATAGAAATGCAATAGTCTATTTTTTATAATTTTTGCATGGTGTACAGTCTGGAAAGTACCCACATGGCAAATTTAAAGTTTGTTGCATGTCGGGAAGTATGCTAAACATTTAAAACAGACACACATTCACAAATTTCCCTTTTATATAGATAGATAGACTAGCGGGAAGTACCCAGCATTGCCCGAGGGAAAAATATATTTTAAAAACTTAAAAACGTAACATATACAAATTTAAAGATGCATTTGATCATTACCTCATTAATTTAAAATAAAATAAAACCCAACGCGTGGTGAAAAATAAACTAACGCTCACGCGCCAAGATTCGATTTTCTAAATTGCGCAAAGGAATCGAAGATTGTAGATTTCTTTAGAATTGGCCTATTCCCGTTTAATCTATATATATAAAATCGTTCATGTCTGTGTGTGTGTGTGTGTGGACTGCACTTTCATTGGACGGCGGTTGCCCCTGGCAACGGCTAGCCACGCCTTCGCCGCTTTCATTGGACCTGGCAACGGCTAGCCACGCCTTCGCCAAGGGCTGCAGTTTCATTGGACGGCGGTTGCCCCTGCCAACGGCTAGCCACGCCTTCGCCACTTTCATAAGCTCCGTATTTAATTAAATAATAGCCATTACACAGTATTGTTGGAGCGCTAGGGGGGGGGGGGGAAGGAACGCCACCCGTACCCTGTCTTTTCCAAGCCGACAATTTTAGGCGAGGCCGCAGGCTTTGCACGCTACTAGGCCTCGACACCCACCACGCCACTCTGAGGTAAATTCATCAAAGTTTTTCCTACTCTTCACTACACCCCCACCACAATGTGTGCTATTAATATTACTTTTAAACCCAACGCGCCAACAATCGATTACTTTAATGTTCACTGTACAAATACTCATTAAGCTGGGTGAGCGTACTGCCAGTCTATCATGTACACTGTAGCCTGCTTATTAAGCTCGGTGAGCGTACTGCCACTCTATCATGTACACTCTAGCCTGCTTATGAAGCTGAGTGCGTGTACTGGCAGTCTATAATGTGGACTCTTGCCTGGTTATTATAATCGATTCTTTATATGTTCTTTGTACAAACAGTCATTAAGCTGCTTGAGCGACCCCAGTTCGATTCCAACTCACGCCCACCACCGCTGACGATTATTTGAAACGGACCTGGCCCTCCCCTAGGTCCACTCAGCCTCAAAAGCGTAACTGCTGTCGTGTGTGAACATCGTCACTGGGGAGACAAAGGCGGCGGGGCATCGTGGATCCAAGTCCCGGGCGAAGCCGGGTCATGTGTATGTGTGTTTGTGTTTATGTGTATGTCTGTGTGTCTCTATGTATGTGTGTATGTATGTATATGTATGTGTTTGTGTGTATGTGTGTGTGTATGTATGTGGGTTTTTTTTATGTCTTTATGTGTATGTCTGCGTGTCTCTATGTATGTGTGTATGTACGTGTGTGCATGTGTTTGTGTGTATGTATGTGTGTGTCTATGTATGTGTGTGTATGTGTTTCTGTGTATGTATGTGTGTGTATGTATGTGTGTTACGTGTCTGTCTGTGTGTCTGCATGTATGTGTGTGTGTATTGTGTATGTGTTTGTGTGCATGTATGTGTGTGTTTGTGTGTATGTGTATGTCTGTGTGTTTGTATGTGTGTGTATGTGTGTGTATGTGTTTGTGTGTATGTGTGTGTATGTATGTGTGTGTATGTGTTTGTATGTGTTTGTGTGTTTACGCTCGCATTACACAAATGTGTTGCTGGTCTAAGGCGTTCCTCGCACAGCATTGCCGCTTTATTATTTCAGTCGTTTACTGCCTTACGCACCCTGAAAGTCGTGTGTGTCTGCAGCAAGCGCGTGTATGTGTACCTATGGACGCGCGCGCGTGTGTTGTGTAGGGGGAACGGTAGTGTAGTGCTTAGCGTGCTGTCTGTGTCTGTGTGTGTGTCTGTGTGTGTGCGTGTGTGGTGTGTGGGGAGCGGTAGTGTAGTGCTTAGCGTGCTGTCTGTGTGTGTGTGTGTCTGTCTGTGTCTGTCTGTGTGTGTCTGCGTGTGTCTGTGTGTGTGTCTGTGCGTGTGTGGTGTGTGAGGAGCGGTGGGTGTAGTGCTTAACGCTACGCTGCGCTACCAACCCGGCGAACCGAGTTCGATTCCCGCTCACGGCCACCACCGGTGACGATTATTTGAACCTCCCCTAGGTCGACTCAGCCTCAAACGAGTAACTGGTGTGGCGTATTAACATCGGCACTTGGGAGACAAAGGCGGCCGGGCGTGGTGGATCCAAGTCCCGGGCGAAGCCGGGTAGTACAGCTAGTCAATACCATAAACGTTCACCAGATATCGATTCTCGCCATTCATGTATGCGGGTTGATGCCACACACTTAATGGTCATTTCCCCCCCCAAAATACAAAAGTATATTTTTAGACTTTTTTCATTGTGTACAGTCTGGAAGCTACCCAAATTCCAAATTTCAAGTTTGTTGCATATCGGGAAGTATGCTAAATATTTCGAACAGACACACATTCACAAATGTCCCTTTTATATATAAGATAGATGCATTATAATAGTCACTCACAAATCTATGCGTTTAGATATGTTACGGTACCATTTACTACTATTTTGAGCCAAGAATGTCTGTGTGTCCCGCGCGTGACGTCACCTCACGTCGACCAGCCCCCCTCATTAATAATCATCAACAGATTACGTCCTCCACAGGGACCTTACCCCTCATTAATAATCATGAGCGGGTGACGTCCTCCAAATGGACACTTCCCCCTCCATTAATAATAATTAGTGGGTGATGTCACTCCACATGGGGGGGGGCGAGGCACCTCTGCCCCCCTCCTCAGCGTCAACTTACAACCCTCACTACAAAGGCAGAAGAACCCTCACGTCACGCGATCTCCGTAACACTATTGAGACATAGAAGTAAAAAGGACGTCATGATGAACAAGGGATTATCACCTATAAATGAAATAGGTCTGTGTCACCGCGGCCTTACAAATTGCACACGCATTGATGCAATGAATATCACGTTGCGGTCTGCTTTTTGTTTGCAAGTTTCAGATTTACTGCAATACACCCGTCCTTGGATGGGCAAAAGGCTAGTAGTTCATAATTTCCAAATCTAAAATTCTTTCACAATTTCAGCATTGCTTTTCTGTTTAAAGGTTATTAGTTTCCTTTGCAGAAAAAAACACAAATTTACAGTGTCACAGATATTTGAGCCATATATTTATAATGCTCGTACCTACATTACTTGAAATGGCTGATCTGGTGTTTCATGACTGGACATTCAGTGCACGTGTACAAGTTGATACTGCTGTTCTGTGGGTCATGTATGTTATGTTTTCTTCCAGTGGCAGGTCTTAAGGAGTTGACCTGATCTTGGAGTCGTGACGTCATCGCAGTGGGTCGGAGATGCTTTCTCACTATCTTCTGAAAAAAATTTCCAAGAAGATCCTAATCTGACAATTGTTCTGCAGTCATTTAGCAAGGATAAGTTTAACTCATGTTACATATACACTGAATCCTTTCACGTCGATTCTTCATACCGCCACAAGTAAATCCACAGAAAATGTTTTGGCATTTAATGAATATTTATACCTGAAATGAGTAATAGAGAATAATATAGTTTTTCATTATCCATTTGGTTATATTTTTCAACCTCAATAAATTGGACATTCAATTGAAACATTCGATTTGTAGTTTAATTAATGTGACAAGATGACTGATAAAGGTTACCCTGTTAAAGACTGGGATTTACCAATGCCTAGCGAAAGTACAGATGATCAATGTGTGTTTGAAGTGCTACAAACATTTGGACTTTCACAGGAAGACTTGCACAGTCTTAGCCAGTACTCAGCAGAAGAGCTCACTGTAGAAAACCTTCCAGGCATCCTTCAAACCTACATGAAGAAAAAGTTAGCGCAAACACAGATCTCAAGTACGGATCAGTCGACTCATTCAACGCCACCTGCCTCTCTCCCAACATCTGTGCAAGGGCAACAAATAAGAAAGTATCCTTCACCTTCGCCACCGTCTATCTTGCACTCAAGATCTGGACATACGCTGAAAGGAAGATTGGATCCGTCAGCTTCATCGCAACCCGTCTCTCGTTCAGAACCCCAACGTGTGCAAAAAGAATGGGGTCATCGTTCACATTTATCACCGTCTGTCAATTATGAGAAACCTCCATGTGAGAACAATCGGAGCCCTCGCCGGTCTTCTTCACTGGCAGCTGTTTCCCACTTCACAGCTTTACAGGTGCAAAAAGCACGGGAGCCATATCGTTCACGGTCACCTTCGCCGCTGCCTGTCATACGCTCGACGTTTGAACATATAAATACGTCAGGAACTGGTCAGCCGTCTTCAAAGCCATCCGCGTTTGTCGCCCACAGTGACAAGGGCGCCAGTAGCCTCGCACACATGGTGGATAATTCTTTTGAGGATGCTCCAGTTGTGGATTATGATCATGGCTTTTCATCTAAAGAGAGAGTGAAAGAGAAACGGTTCACATTTTCCGATGCCACAAAGGCGAAATTGGACCAGTTTGGACAGACTTATGAAAGAAAGTCACCGGTGGAGAAACCCAAAAGGAGTAATTATACCCAAGATATAGCTGCACCTTTGCAGCATCATGCAGAGAAAATACGTGTGATACAATCTAGGCATCGGGAGGCTCAGAAGGACATTGTAGAATCCCAACCGTCTCGGCATCAAACAGAGGATTCTAGTTCATGTTCCGGGACTAAAATAATACAACCACAATCAGAAAGTACTGAGAAATTAAAAAAAACACAGCGAGGGCAAGGGGTCGATTTAAACCAGCGCATTGATGCTCTTCGATTATTTCTACTTGATCAACAGAAACTACAACATTCTAAAAACATTCAAAACAAAGGACAACAAATTGAAGGCCCCTCAGTTGAAAATTTAGAGCAGAAGCAAATACAGAACCTTGCAATCGAATTGAATCCGCTGCCGCAAGAACAGATGCCTTCAGTTAACATTACCCATCAATCAATGCAGGGCTCTCATGGCTTCCAGCAACATGTACCAATATGTGCACCTCCAGTATTTGAAAGTATACCACCACAGCCAGTATTTGAAAGTTTTCCACCACCACAGCCAGTATTTCAAAGTTTTCCACCACCACAGTTTTTTGGGAATATAGCACCACCACAAACAAACATAATATCAGGATATGTCGGACTTTCTCAACCAAACCCACCGATTCATGGTCATCTGGGTGGTGGTAATGTCTACCCACCATTCCTAGGATATGCTGGACCTTCACCACCAATCCCACCTGTGATTGTGGATCCAAGCATTCGAAATATAGCACCATCTCCATTCCCAGTATATGGTAAACCTCCACAAGTAAATCTACCAATGCCTGCGACTTTGGGATTCAACAACGTACCTCCTTATTTTCATGCAAATCCAAGCCCTTCACCAAGTTGGCCACCAATGTTTCCTCCTCCCCAAACAATCAACAATGTTTATCCAACTTTCCCAGGAACTGCAGGACCTCCGCAGACAAACCCAACGATGCCTCCGCTGCCGACAGGATATCCACCGCGAATGTATTCCATTACACAAACACCAGGCACAAATGTCAGTCGACAATGGATAACAAAAGGACCCAATAAATCCTCCACCAATCTCAGAATTCTGACAAATGTGTCACATGGGTTAAACCCTTATCAGCATAAATCCTCTTCCACCTCCGAGACTGTACAAGCCAAATTAGAAACTCCAAGTGTTTGTGAAGCAAAGAAAACAGAGATCAGCGCTGATCCCCGTGGCAATGAAGTAGACAACAAAACATCGGATGATATGTCATTCAGACAAAGAGGTTATCCCTTGCTTGAAGAGATGCAAAATTATATTGGGGATTATCGACACAATAAAACTTTGAAATGCTTCTTATGCAGTTGCAGTTTTGACAACCAAACGGTGAGTGTATATCTCATGATACTCTGAAGATGATATTTAAAACCATAATATAGATGAGCAGTGTCTCCTTCATATATCTGTGTCTTCACACCTATTGCGTTATGCAATACTGTATATACCTTAACATCAAACTATTACCTATATCTTTTTAAAGGGAGAGTTCCTCGTCTATTACATTTGGCAGGTCAGCAGCATTGATTCAAGCAAGCCTGACTGCTGATCTGACAATGCTGCTGAAATTGTCCACTCCCGCAAGGCCCTGAGGCCTGTTGAGTTGTGTTAAACAAACCTTTTATATTTTATATATGTGGAGAGACATTTTACGAGAGTGAATCTTGTCTGCTAATATATCAATTATGCTAATTCTGTATTTGTATATTATAATTGAAGCCAGATTGTCGTATGTAAAGAACGGCTTCATGGGGATCCCTTAAATACATCATGTGTAGACTTTGTTTTAAATGTAAAGTGCAGTGAAGTTGTTTTTTATGTAAAAATGTATTATCCTCAGCCTTCATGATATCTGTAAACATAGCTATGTTTTTTTGTCATAGTGGCATTTTTCGATGTTCTAAATAACTTGGCTACAATTGGAAATATTTACTGAAATTACGAATGAACAATCTGCCGATGTCTAGCGATATTTTGGGGGCGTAAAATAACATTGTGATGTGATGCATAGGTGCTTTTGCTTTGAACATGCACCAGACTGTTCCTTTACAGTATCTCCATGAAGATAATAATAGGTGTTCAACTAATTCATGTCGATACAAAGCTTTCGTTTAGACTCTCAGTTCAGATTTGAGTGGAACTACTTTTAACATTGCCCTCGCCTTAAATATCCACTTTAACCCACCTCGTGTTTTTACTATGTCTTTAGTACGCTCACAAATGTGCGAGTTTATCTAGTATGTAGATAGGGGCCTACTATTAAAATATAGTGAGGACCAAATATAATGTATGGACAACAGTGCTACACATAATAAATATACTGTAGTACACGATGATAGCTGTGCGTTCTATTATCCATATTTATCCCAAAATATAACTACTTTTATTCGTGGAATGGGCGTGGAATAAAAGAGGTCGAATTGTACGTGCCATATATTTATCATCATTGCCTTCAACATCATCGCCAACAGCAGGATCATCAACATCATCCATTGTATAGCCACCGGGCTGTCGCTGTCCTTGGGGACCTGCGATGTCACAATAATCTTATTCACATTAACAGATCTCGGCTCTCCATCTCCACTGTAGGCGACTTTGACGAGTTCTCGTCATCGCCGTGTGTAGCGCGAATGACCTCCTCCAATGCTCGGACCAAGGCCTTGCACAGATCACGATTGTACTTGGCGAGATACCACCATCATCTTCAAGGGGTGGCGAGATATTAACTGCCTTGCCTGATATACAGAAGGTCGTGGGTTCAATCCCGACCCTGACTACTTGTATATTTGGAGTTTACGTGTCTCCCCGTGATCTCGTGGATTTTTCTCCGGGTCCTCCGGTTTTTCCCTCCACATTTAGAAACATGAGTTGAGAGTATTTGGCTGCTATACATTTACACAAAATAAGCCACTTTGTCATTTGTAGCCAGGTCGCTTCTGAAACAGCTATATTGCTCAGTGGGCCTTGCCTGGTAAAATAAAAGTGGTTTGTTTTATGAACACCATCGTAAATCCCATCACTCTTCAGCGGGAGAACTCGGAGATGTTATTCCACGGATAAATATGGATATTAGGAATGATTCAGCTCGCCGACGTGACTTATCCATGGAATGGGCACGAATAACAAGTGCCTGCAGCGGCACTATCTAGCTGTGGAAACTGGCCAGAAATTACTGCGAGACTCCTATCAATGGAATGGCCGTGGATAACAGGAGGGGTATCTGTACCATGGATGACAGGAGTTTCTGCTAATATATTCTAATAGATTGTAGTCACGTGGTAGTCGCGTGGATGATACTGTTTCAACTGCGTTCGTACATGTCCTTGCTAAGTTTTGTGGCGCAATGCTACACAATGGAAAGACTCTAAAAGCTGACGTGCATGGTTTTAGGACATAAGCATTTATAGGCAGATATTTTATCATGAAGGTGGCGCTTATTTCCATTGTATGGAGTTGACAATAGTAATTTTGTTTCTCGTGAGTTTCAGTCCTCTGCAGTTAATAGGCTTTGTTTTCCACATGCAGACCTATTTGTTTTTCTAAATGCTTATTAAATTGGTGATTTTGATTTACGTTTGCGTGTTCATGATTTTCTTTGCCCAGGAACTGGACGACCACCTGAGGAATCCCTTACATAAGATGAGCATTCAAATTTTCAGTATCCAGTGAGTGCTTTGGAATGTTGTCATCATTCATTGTGAATATCAGTACTAAATATTTCCTTAATTTTTTTATATGTTTTGCTGGTCATTGCAGCTGTGCGTGGTCCTGAGTGAGGCGAATGCCACGTGTTAATTTAATGTTCGTAACTGGAATAACAATTTTGCTGTAATTTATGTATGCCTAATGTAAATCTCTTGGCAAGGGTGATGTGTAGGATTGACTTTCTCAGCCATTGATTTGTATGAAATTTCTGTGCAATTGTGTATAACTTTGTTGGCATGAAAGCTGCGTATTGTACTTCATAATTTGGGTGTGGCATTCCCCCCCCACTCCTCTGACATTTACTATTATATTTACCCAAGAATGTCAGTGTGTAATGCGCATGACGTCACTCCACATCGATCAGCCCCCACATTAATAATCATGAACAGGTTACATCCTCCAAATGGACACCTCCGCTCCATTAATAATAATTAGCGGGTGCCGTCACTCCAAATGGAGGGGCGAGGCGCCTCCTCCCCCCTGCTTAGCGGCAACTTATAACCCTCACTACAAAGGCAGAACCCTCCCGTCACGCGATCTCCGTCACGCTATTGAGACATAGAAGTAAAAAGGACATCATGATGAACAAGGGATTATCACCTTCAAATGAAATAAGTTTGTCACCGCGGCCTTACAAATTGCACATGAATGGATGCAGTTAATTATCTTGGTTCTTTCGGTAAAGTCACGTAGATAGAAAATAAAATAAAAAAATAACTTGCTTTTTAAAATAAAAGCAAAAAACCACGACCTTTCGATCGCAACACAAGCGGTCTTCATTAGGCAGAGAGAAAAGAGGAGGAAAGCCTCCAAATGCAACAAGTTGCTTTAAGTACATTTTTTTTTCTATCTACGTGACTTTCCCAAAAGAACCAAGAATATGAATTCCTGCAGTCACGAGAGTTTTACGTCAAAATTGGATGCAATGAATATCACATCGCAGTCTGCATTTCGCTTGCAAGTTTCAGATTTACTGCAATACACCCATCCTTGGACGGGCAAAAGGCTAGTTTAAAATAACATCATTTGCAGTTAAAGTGTTTGTCTTACAAGTAAACCGTACTGCACCGTGCAGGCAGCAAGGGTTGGTGAATCTCACAAATGTTAAAAACTTCCTGTGGCCATTAAGGTGCTATAACCCTGGTTTTGCCAAGGGAAAGGAGTACAGTACAACCCCTCTTAACGACTGTAATTTAATTCTAGATTTGAAGCTTTCGTGACTGCAAGGATTCATATTCTTAGGTTTTTTCGGTAAAGTCACGTAGGCAAAACATTAAAATTAATGAAAGTAAAATAAAATAATATAATAAAATTATTTTACTTTCATTCATTTTAATGTTTTACCTACGTGACTTTACCGAAAAAACCTAAAAATACGACTGTCATTTGTTCCACGAAACCGGTCGTTAAGTGATTTGGTCATTAGGCGAGTATAGGAAATACATGTTAAAGGCTTAGTTTATTCTGATAGCATCGAAAGTTACCTTTTTCACCATAAAAAACTTATTTTATAATATTTCAACTGGATATTAATACATAAAGATACTAACAACATTAACACATAATATTAAAATAAACATGGTTAATCAATGCGTTAATTTAAATTTACTGTACCTACAACAGCCCGTAGTTAACAGGGAAATGGTGAGTAAGCGAACACATTGGGCTCTATGGAGGACTGTCATTAAGCGATTACAGTAGCATAGTGAGAGGTTCTACTATACAGCAAAAAATGTGGACTCCACCTGTTGCCGTTCGTACGGAATAGTGTTACCTCCTCGCACGCGTGAATTTTCTCTGGGTGCTCCAATTTCCTCCCACCTGGAAGCACTCATTAATTAGCTGAAAACATCTTAATAAATAACGAGCGGCAGAGCTTGGGCAATTTTTGGTGCCAACTCACTGCCTGCCTTCCTGCTCGTCTGGTTCCTCCTCGTGCCTCTGATTCAGTCTTTGAGAGTGAACGATTGCTGTGCATGTTACAAGTTGAAATTATTATTTACCAATGTTCATTGTGCACAGTATATATCATCATATGCCTTACATATAATATTTCTTGCTAGTCTCACGCAAATATAAGACCATGGTTACTCTTTGGTTCTTTCGCTAAAGTCACATTGGTAGAAAAAATAATAGATCACGACGTTTCAATCGCCACAAGCAATCGTCCTCTCTCCCACCTGAGGACAATTGCTTGTGTGGCGATCGTGATCTATTATTTTTTATACCTCCGTGACTTTACCGAAAGAACCAAAGAGTATGGATTCCTGCAGTAACGAAAGCTTCAAATTAAGATAAGACCATGGTTATTTTTCTTTCTTTGTAGGTTTCGCACTGAATTGAACAACATGAAGTAAGTGTAATATTTATTTTATGTACTTACCTATAGCTGTCTTGTCATTGTTTAAATCATTTGTTACTCTTTCAGCAACAGCTAATTTACAGTACACTATGATGATTTGTAGTCAGGCCCAGTTAAAGCTCACATAAATGCAAAATGAATGATTAAATAGTTACTTACATTTCTATGTTGAGTTATTATGAACACTGTGCATTGCACTTCATAACTGAGGTCAGATTGTACCAGTCGCAAATATGTGGTCAATTTCTCAGTTGTGGGGATGCCATAGCATTACATATGGATTTGTTAATAGCTACTGCTTCATTTATAAGTTATAGAGTTAACTTGCTGCACGTAATGTTCGTTTGTGAAGTTGAAGAAAGTGCGGCCTTGCGGTCCGCTTCTGTGTGTCCTCTTAACATGAGGGGTTCCCGTCTTCTGCTCATGAATTTTGGCACGGAAAACAGTTGTGCCAAGCGCTCTTCTATCCCATTGGTTAAAGGGCCTTGATGTGCATATTTTCGCCCATCCTTCTGGTTACCACAGTCCTGCACAAAATCAGCAGGGACAGGGCAAAAAATATTCTGTTAGCCCTATTTTATGGATTCATAATATAGGTTTTTTATTTTATGGAGTCAGTGTTATTTGTTTTAGAGCTGGTGGAGGTGTCATCAGTGGACACTCCGTGCAGGCTCCTGTTAAGGCAGGATATTCTGCAACACTGGTCTATTTTGCACTCAAGGGGAATTTTTCAATCCAGCAGCTTGGAAAATATAACCACTTAATCTGACGACACATCCGCTGGTTCGTTGGTGTTTCTGATATCAGGCTTGCAAGCCCATGGGGGCTGTTCATGCCATTGTGTTGGGAGTTTCTTATCCACCTCAGGAAGTGTGACATTGCACTGGACGTCCTTGAATTCCTGGTGAGCAATTCCATAAAGACTCAGCGGCAGCCACCATCCGAGCTCAACTGGCCACTGTTATGGCATTCTCACAAGAGATTTTCTGTGGTTCCTTTTGCCAAGAGTCCATTCATTCACATAATTATCAAGGGGGTGTCATCCACATCATCACCTGGTCAATTTAAGGCATTGTATTTTGTATTGTTCAGAGGCCCTCTCGGCAGGACCCATGCCACCTAATCAGATCTTCCCTTCGAGATGTGCTCTGCAAGGGTACACACACGCAGAGCATCTAGAATATTTAAGATGTAGCATCTGATATGCTGCCGCGATCATCTTTGTTCATGTAATGTGGCTGTGTTTGTGTTCATATGACAGTTCAGGGGTAACTATCACCCCAACAAATTATTAATCATGCTTTCTTTTTTAGTTATTTCAGATATGATACCGACAACATGAAATCGACAAAGGCAGTTCCAAAACATCAATCTGCAGATGGGGTTAAACCTGATCTTTGTAAAGATGGAAAAGATGCCAAGCCTGCTATAAATGTTGAACCCCCTAGCAGTGTTAAACCTGTGGTTCAAGATAAATCAGTTACTGATAACACCAAACCAGTTGATACGAAATCTACCGGTATTGTTACCACTGCTACTGTGGCCAAACAAGCGTCTAGTGTTTCTGTAGCTACCCCTGTCAGTTCCACGAACACTAATATCAGCAAAGCAGTCCCAGCTGCCATCGAGAATCCCAGTTTTCTGCAGCGTGACCAACCAACACAGGCAGAGATTTCCAACTACAATGGGTTTTTCCCAAGAAGGAACGGCGTGTTTACATGCCATTTTTGTATGATCGTCTGTAAATCTTCTCAGGTAAGTGGATTTTTCCGCCTACAAGTGTTAAGCTCTTAAGTAAATTAATGAATGTGAATTAGATTTTTATATGCAGCATAAACCCTTCGCACACCCAACTATGTTGTAACAGACATCGGTCTAAATGTGATGAAAACGTGTCAATATCCAAAATAAAGAAGCATTCATGTCTCCACATATCCATCTCTCAACATAAAAACAAATTGCACAACCCATTCTGAGAGTGCATTATTTCAGCAGCATTGATTTCAAGAAAAGCAGACTGGACTGGTTTTGACACACACTCATCAGCAGCACCAGGCTTGCTTGATTAAATGCTGATGAACTGCCAGTCTCGCAGGCAAGGACCCTGTCTCTAACATATTAGAACCTATTTCGACATGCAAATATATGATACGTATCTCACAATAATCAGCGTCGCTGTGGTGAAGCAGACAATAGAACGCCTTCACATATCCATTTCTCCAGTTAAAAAATAAAAGTTTTTACACAACCTAAATCCTCGCGCTGCATGCGGGGCCGCCTTCTCCCTCAGCCTTAAGATGACAAAAGCGCACCATAAGCACTCGATCGCTCATTAATCATTTTCTTTGGCATCTTAAGTGAGTGCATATTGCAGGAGGGGGTGAGGTTGACATGGTTGTGTTGTGTCGGTGTAACTTGCAACTATAGCCCACTGTAGCCCGTTCTTGAGCTCTCCAACCTCTCAATTGGAACCGTTCCATGAGTTGTAACCAGGAAGGTTTGGTGAGCTCACAAGAAAGGCGAGTGGGCTACAGGAGCTTATTTGACCGACACGAGGTGAATTTGACCTCCGTAGAGTACATTGTCGCTTTTTTTTCTTTTACTTCATTATTCAGTACTGTCTTCTGCATTTACCAGGGTAATTTTGTTTTGAGCATTTCTCAAGTTATGATACCTCTTTCATGGTTTTGGCTGTGTAATAATCAGGGCTACAGGAGCTTATTTGACCGACACGAGGTGAATTTGACCTCCGTAGAGTACATTGTCGCTTTTTTTTCTTTTACTTCATTATTCAGTACTGTCTTCTGCATTTACCAGGGTAATTTTGTTTTGAGCATTTCTCAAGTTATGATACCTCTTTCATGGTTTTGGCTGTGTAATAATCAGGATTTCCAAAATACCTTGGCTAGTCACAACTGATCCACTGCCGCCATCCTCTTGATTTTGGTGCTGTCATACCCTTGACATTTGTATGGAAAAGAGGGAACGACACGCGGTCTGATTAGTTGATTCATTCATTTGTGACCATACAAACTTCAGTGCAATCCAATTTGGCTGTGAAATAAAAGAAAGCTAGTTTCCTAATTACTGTAAACATTGCCAAATGTTTGTCCTTTCATTTGTGAATCACTTAAGTCGCATGTGTGTTCTCTCCCCCCTCCCACCCCCCTCGTTGACAGGAAATGTTGGTCCACAGGAATATACAGGAACATTCGAGCCAACGGAATGCATTTGGCAAAAGGTACGGTTGAGCATGGTTTCATGCTGCTGTGACATAACGACTAAGATATTTCACCATACGATTTGTGCACGCGCTGTGCGATGGAAAGACAGTGTCATACAGAGAGACGTGGAGACAGACGTAGAGAAAGACAGAGAGAGGGTCCAAGTGTGACAATAACCTAAAGATGGAGATGGATACGAAGAGAAATGTATGGAGACATCGAGAGACAGACACATGACATGTAGTGTTTATAAAAAGTACTCACACCGACACGGAGTAACAAGTCACCTGCTTACACTTTATTTCTCCGGTCTCGCGCCAGTTGTTGTAGGCACTCCTATATCTATCTTTATGGTGACATACACTTGACTTCTCCCCACTCTAATCTATTCTGCACCTCACCTATCCTGCACTCAGAAACTCTGCACTCAGTGACTGCACACAGCAACTCCACACTCAGTGACTGCACACAGCAACTCTGCACTCAGCGACTCTGCACACAGCAACTCCGCACTCAGCGACTCTCCATCTCCACCGCTGCTCTCACCTATGTTGCCTCATGCCCACTCATCTGTCCCGGGCGGGGGGTTCAGGTAACACCCGCCCGGCGACGGTGTGAGGGTTGAGGTCTCGTTAAGGGCTTGAGTGGCAGCGGCGAGATGTCTTCACTCTTGGTTCCCGGCAACTCCCCCGCTCACGCACACTCCTGCTTCTATATCCCTCCTCATTCCGAGTCCTCACGTGCTCCCCCTTAGGCCGCCGCCGGCATGGCGCCTGTTGCCCTCATTAATCCCTTATCATCACTCCCCATCTCCCGTCACCCCAACGCCAACCTCCGGCCTCAACGTTCCCACCTGCTCGGCCTCGTTTGCATCCGATTCTCCCCTTAATTACTGTCGGTTTGTCAGTGCAAACATCATGTTGCAACGCGCACACCTGTTAGTCCTCAGTTGCATCCGTTTAACGGCACGCACCACCTATATCTCTCTACATATATACAGAGAGACACTAACAGAGACAGAGGCACTGATAAAGAGAAGCAACAGATACCAAGAAACTTGGAATATGCAGGCATAAAGATGTAGATGCACAGAGAGACAGATTAACGAAAATGTACTTCTGGACTTATATAATATTTGATACTAGTTCATAACGCCTGTCGTCGCCAGGAAAAAGTTTTGAATAAATATAATAATTAACCTGATTATTTTTTTACAATTTTTATCTTCGATCATTGTTGATGACTTGATTAAACTTATATTTAAAGACGTACCAATCAGAAACTACCTAATTTAAAGATTCCATTTTTTATTATTAAAAACAAAAATGAATAAATTTAATACTCTGAGGTTAAGCTCATCTTATCTTTTACCGTTTTCTAATTATTAAGATTTGAACATAAAATACGGATTTTTTTCGTTCAAAACCGCTTTCATCCGAAATATCTCAAAAACAAAAGATAGAAATGGTTTTCACTTTAATTTTATTTGCTGTTTAGCGCTCTATCAAACGAAAAAACGACAATCTTTATATTTTGAACGGTTTCTGAATGAGGCACACATTTTTATGGGGCACTTAAAATCAAGATTTGGAGGCCTTAAAATAAAAAATCTCGGATTTTCAGTTTTCTTTGTGTTTCTGTCCTAAAAGCTAACTACCAAATTTCACCTTTCTACCTTGTCGGGAAGTACTCGAGAGGTTTTTGAAACGTACATACATATATACACCTGAGGACGGCTGCTTGCGTTGTGGCCGAAACGTCGTGAGAATTGTATTTTATTGTTTTATTTTTATTATTTGATTATTTCCCTTCTACGTGACTTTACCGAAAGAACCAAGAAGATGAATCCCTGCAGTCACGAAAGCTTTAAATCGAACAATATATACATATAGATTACCCGTGGGAAGTACCCGACATTGCCCGGGCGAAAAATATATTTCAAAACTTCTCTTAAAAGCATTACATATACATACACAGATACTAAGCTATTGTTTGTCCATTTGTACACCAACAAAATTATAAGAGGCTTGCATAAGTCCAAAAAGTAATATAAAGTAGGGGATAAATATAGTTAAAAAAATATTTTTACCCCCTCGTAGGTATATTAACCTACACACAATACATACAACAGAGTATGTAATATCTATTGACTTTGTAGTTGTATCTACTGACTGTACAGTAGTATCTACTGAGCCAGTAGTATTTACTGACTGTAGTAACTACTGACCACAGTATCTACTGGCCCTACAGTACTATCTACTGACTGCAGTAGTAACTAATGGCCGTAGTAGTATCTACTGACCCGACAGTAGTATCTACCGACTCTATAGTAGTAACTACTAATTCTATAGCAGTATCTACAATCACTACAGCAGTGCATACTGACTGTGGTGGTACCTGCTATAAATACATTAGTGCATACTGACTGTGGTGGTACTTGCTATGACTACAGCAGTGCATACCGACTTTGGTGGTACCTGCTATGACTACAGCAGTGCATACCGACTTTGGTGGTACCTGCTATGACTACAGCAGTGCATACCGACTTTGGTGGTACCTGCTTTAACTACAGCAGTGCATACCGACTTTCATGGTAGCTGCTTTAACTACAGCAGTGCATACCGACTTTCATGGTAGCTGCTTTAACTACAGCAGTGCATACCGACTGTGGTGGTACCTGCTATTACTACAGCAGTGCATACCGACTGTGGTGGTACCTGCTATTACTACAGCAGTGCATACCGATTGTGGTGGTACCTGCTTTAACTACAGCAGTGCATACCGACTGGTGGTACCTGCTATTACTACAGCAGTGCATACCGACTGTGGTGGCAACTGCTATCACTACATAAGTGCATACCGACTGTGATGGTGCCTGCTTTAACTACAGCAATGCATACCGACTGGTGCATCCCGCTATCACTAGAGCAGTGCCTACTGACTGTTGGTATCCTGCTATTACTACAGCAGTGCATACTGACGGCTGGTACCTGCTATGACTACAGCAGTGCATACCAACTTTGGTGGTAACTTCTTTCACTACATGAGTGCATACCGACTGTAGTGGTGCCTGCTTTAACTACAGCAGTGCATACCGACTGGTGGTTCCCTGTACATGCTGGCGATGTATAAATTCATCTCTCTGGCATTCTGTCTTTGCAGCTGTGCTTATAAATAACCAAGTTGATTGAATATTGCTTTGAATTATAATTTTCTCTGCATTGCTACTTGCCACTCATCACCAGGCTATTTAATACAACATGTGTATGTGAACAACAATCATATTTACATTTTGCAACCAAAATCAAGCATTTTAAGTTCACCCAGTTCATGGGCCAGACCATACCTTTGTACCACTTGAATAAATTAAACTTCATTGTCACCGATGTCTCTTAATGGATCAGAAAAAGTGCATTGTGGATAACCAACCGTGTGGAAGAGTTGTATTAGTTCTCAGCGTTATGGCCTGAATTAATAAATTGGTATCACTGTAGTTCTGTCAACTTGTGTGATACCGATCAAGGAAATATCTAGCCTAGGCCTGCTCTATATTTGCATACCTGCTGACGTTTTATGCTTAGTATCAAAACACTGCTTGCTAACTTCATACCCTTCTGTTCCTATCATTATAGGTTTGCTAAAGAGCTACTGTGTATGAGGTATGTGGCAATCATTGTAAAGAACCCTTCACAACACTTAACACCTAATTTGACATCATGTCGTATGAAGGTTTGATAATAATTGTGTTAATTTGGATACTGCACCATTCTTATAGCGACAAGGCTATCATGATGGCTTTGCATTTCACAGATAGGTATAGTCTGCCATTAGGGGGTAATGTTGCTGTCTGGTTTTAGCCAATTAAGCAATTTGCGAATATTCTAACTTGCCAAATTTAGACTATGACCCCAGCACATTGTGCCAACTCCTTTTTTAATAACACCATAGCATATATAAAATTGCTGACCCCTTTCTCTATTTGTATTCTTATATTGTGATATCTTCTGTTGTGTTCTTTTATGGGCATTTCAAGACTACGCAGAAAAGTAGATCGTCCTCCGAAAGTTGTGGCAGCAACTATAAAATCTGCTGACGACACTGAGCAGTCTGCTCAAGCAGCCAAAATCAAGACATCACAGCCACATGCACTGTCTGCCAAAGACACAGCGCCTGTACAAACTGAGGGTGGGAACATTTTACAACCAGAAGTACCTGCCACTGCGTCTACGGAGTCTGTACAAACAGCTGATGTGAAGACGTCGGATTCAGCATCTAAGACTGCGCCCGTCGGCGCTCCTTCAAAGCCGTCAGATGTCGAGCCTCGGCTTGTCAAAACCGTGAGTACTTCTCTGCCTTCAAATTTTCATTTGGTATCGAGTTAGTATGTGCACGTGGAATAGCGAGTAAAAGTGAAGTGGATTGTATCAAATGGGTTAGAACACTGAGCCAGTACCACTTGCGTCCTGGGTTCAAATCCAGGTTTCAGCCACCCGTAATTAAACCATATTCTTAAGTGTAGTGGGTTGTTAGGCCTCAGCCCTCTCACCGATAACTTAACAATAAAAACTTCAATTTAGTTTTGAATTGACTTTTGATGTATCCCAGATTTGAGGGGTTGTAAAAGTTAAATTTAACATGCGATTAATGTTTTTAATTGGGCATATAAAATGTGCCCCTAGCGCAGATAAAGATGCCTTCTGTGACACGGGTTGATGTACTGCTTGCTACGGAGTTCTAAATGTAAATTTCACCTTGTCACTTGAAGCTGTGATGAAAGAAAAATAATACTCACATGAATGTGGTCACATAGTATAAGTCTTTTTGAAACAGGAAACCAGCCTTCGGGTCCCTGTAGGGGTGTGTGTGATTCTGCCTTCATCTGTCAGTAGACAAGCACTGATGGAACCGTTGGTTGGAAGTGACTTGTCTTTGGGTTCTTTCCAGAATAAACTAAAAAAACAGTCTCCTGTGAGCAATGTTGCCTTGCACATTCTTTATATCACAGAAATCTACAGTATATGATGAGGGTCCTTCAACCTTAACCTGCATTTTTGTTCTCGAACATTTGAAAGTGGCACTGTTAAACCATATCCTATTTGTACAATGTGGCTTATATTTACACCGGATCTAAATGCAACCACATTTCAAGGTACTCTATTGCTACACGTATGCGGTTGTCCCATTGGTGTTATAATAGCGTCATAATTTCAGCCATATCCACATTCACTTCTGGACATTTGCTTTTATGTCGTTTGGAACCCACCTATGCATTATTAAATCTAAAATGAAAACTAATTTATTTAGAACAGGTTTTTGCATTTAGTTTGTTGTCCTTCCTCCGATTAGCACGGTTGGCTACGTACGGTATGAAAGAAGTTCGACATACATATGGCATTTTTATTGATTTTAAGGTGCAACAGACTTTTGATTGAGTTATTTGTTTAGCGCATGCGTTTGTGCCAAGCCAGGCTTCATCATTTTTAGAATGTGACGCATCCTAGCATGGCACGTTGATCCACAGCAGGTGCCGTGATTGCAGAAAAGTAGAGGGCGGGCGGGCAGGCGGGCGGGCTAAAGAGATTGACGTGCAGCAGCAGACTTGGGTTAGCGCGCATCTTGCCAGCTGCAGACTCCTGACGGACGTGTGGAGGGGTAGTGTTACTCATAACTGGCAACTAAACAGGGAGGGACGTCTGTCGGAAGAGTTCTTGAGATGAAGCGCATTGTCGAACGTGACTGCGCGTCAACGAGCTCGGTACACGACATCCGATCCCAGACGGGCGCGCACGGTGTTTTGCCGTCGAGTACAAGACTGCGAATGCCGACGTCCGTGGAGTTGGAGCACTGGCCTCCATTACGAGCCAGTAAAATTGCCAGGGAAGTTAATACGAGTCTTCACTTTCCCCGTGGCTGTCTTCTCGAGATGATCGTGGCAGCTTTGTGTCGGGTCTGTAGTTACACCATGGTAGACTGAGTGCAGGTTGTGTCTTGGCCTCTGCCCATTGAGGCACATGTTAATATCGTGGGCAGCACTGGCGGTGTGAAGGTGGAACATGCTCAACAATGTCTTGGTAACACCCGGCTGAAGACGTTGCATTTCGCAGTCGCCTGTTGACATCATTTAGCATTATGTCCAGTTCAAGAAACGTCTGGGCCCCAAGCTTTGCAGCAGATGTCGTCTGCATAGACTCTAAACAGGGTTGGAGCGAGCATGGAGCCCTGCAGCAGGCCGTTGATTTGCCTCCTCCAAGCACTTGTCTTCTCTCCCATGTGTACTCTGAACCTTGTGTCACCCAGAACAAGTTCAGTGACATCAACCACCCATCTCAACAATACTATGCATCATGCACATTGCTGCAGAGATTGTTCCAGAACCAACGTTAACATGGCTAATCATTGCATAAATCGCAGCATGTGAGCATATTCATCATCCATCACTTGTATCTTGTGCATTTGCAAACCTCTTGTAACCCCAATCTCCTATTTCATTAGAAATTGCACAATGCTGATTTTCCACAACACAATACACTTTTCCGCCTTATTCAAAATACCCAGACTGCTTGGATCATCTGTAATGTAATTTTACACAGGAATTGACATATATAGCCCATCACCTTTGCACCGACATTCAGACGTCTGTATTTTACATTTAATAATAACAAACGTGTGCAGGTTAATCTTGAACAACCTTTGTTACCCGAAATGAAGATCACAAATTCTATTTGTGTTTTGAGATGGCCATGCCACTCGGGGATTAATTCCTCTGCTAACATCTGGGCTGGCACGGCTGAGGTTTTGGGTTCATTTCCAGATAAAAAAATTCTTCTCAATTAGCTAATTGATCGTCTTAAGCATGGGCATCAATATCTTAGAAAAAGTAATCATGCTTTAGGATTGTAGTTAGCCTTGCCCACCTGTTGAAGAATACATTTGCACATTTAACATAATTTTAATTATTGTCTTTATGACATTGCAAAAGGTTGACGACCACAAACGAATGAGCACTGTATGAAGTTGGCTAGAGAAAAAAAAACATTGTAATCAGTTCTGTGGAAAATTTTGCAGAGCCGTTCTTGGATGTTGTTAGCTTGAGGCTCTGCTTTTGTGTATGAGATCTGGTTGATCCAGACCATCATTCCTCTCGGAGTAAATAAAATGAATACACAGAGTAGTTGTTTTATGTAGAGACTCACCTCTGCCTTGAGAATGTGTACTTTCGACAACTCGCTTTGGGGCTGCAAACAGGAGATTAGCACCACCTCAACACTCATTTGATTGATATGACTGACATTAAAATATGGATGTAATTGGGCAATCATGTTTATTATTGAAAGTGATCTTTTGCTTATATTTGAACAACCACCTCCAGTGGTGTTGTGCCGTTCTCCAATTTGACGTGTGGCCTGCCCATCTTGGGGGAGTCCAGGTGGGGTTTCATTTGAAACACAAGGGTGGAAGCACAAATAAAATGTTCTGTTTTTGGTGAAGAAAATGGCACAGTTGCCCATAATGTGCGGTTTTAGGGATGAATTGAAGTTTTTTTGAAATGTGATTTTCAAAGACAATTTCACATCTTTTTTGGATCTTGTACATTGTGTATCATTGTAACGCGTCTTCGTCTTTACAAAAGTAATGTCACCCGATGCCACCTGACAAGACTTTTGGCAGTAAGAGCATGGACATAATGTGATTTTAGTGATGTCACTTCCTGTGGTGTAATTTTAGTGATGCGACTACACCGTGATGCCACATTTTTTTTCAAAAAATAGGATTGCCCTAAATTTTGTATCAAGGCTTAATTTTTCTTATTTTTGCGGCTTAATTCCAAGTAAGAACTGGATGCTTCATACCAGGTATGACAGTGGCAGGATTCCAGCAGCCCAATTAGTGCTTTGTACAGCAGTCGTAGTTATTCGGAGTTGAAGAAGGCATTGGCAGGGAAAAGAAAACCAAGCTTCTTGATGCCTTCTTAGTCAGATTGGTTATACAGCCATTCTATGACATGTTGGCTGAGGTTGTTGTACCCAGAAGGTTTACACAATGGATACAAGTATATCAGTGTTAAATATAATGGGAGGAACTATGGACTTGCCAGTCATACGTGATATGATCGTTGACTGGGTTGTTCAGTTTAACGTGACCAGGTTATTATTGTCACCCCAATCAAGAATTGTTTTCAAGTCGTTTGTGATTGATGGTGATGCATCTGTGCATTGGGGAAGTAAGTGTCTTATTACTTCAGCCTGTGACTGAAATATGTACAATGCTTGTATGTTGAACTTCTTTGGCACCGTATGTAGCCATCCATGCTAATCGGAGGTGCTTATATGAGATATAGACAGACTATACAATATCCCTGCTCTTCTTTGCCTCTACTTGTTTAATCTAGCCACTTTCCAGAAATTATATGTTGTTATATATTTAACTTTTTGGATTGTGATGCACCTCATTGACTTAGTCTTACTCACAAATGTTTATTAAATGAATGTAAAACATGGTGTAGATTTGTTACATGCAATTATAATTTTTTTAACCACGATCGTTGCCCTTTAAAATGAGGCGATGTTGCATACGTCTCAATGGGCTTACATTTCATCTCCCGGTTAAGTAAAGGATAATTACATACATATATATAAAATAGAGACATAGGGAGAATAGAAATACATACGAAGAAGGGTGTATTCACCCAAAACATCATCGTTGAAGGTGGCAGGAGCAGAGTCTCGGAACAGGCGTCCGGGGAAGGTGATCGTCCAGTCCCGACACGCAACGAGCAAAGCTCCGGGAGACGGGCACGCCGGCGACCGGGGAGATGCAACGGTGACGACTACGTCAGCCTCGACGAACAAGGAGAGAGGCGACGATGTGCCGGGTGGAGAGACGAAGACAGCGGAGGAAGTGGAAAGACGGCAGTCGCACGGGTGTCTGACACGAGAGAGCGCCGTTCGTAGCTTGCAGAAAGGGCCCACAGCCAAGGCACTCGGAGGTGTGACCTGCTTTAAGATTTCTCATGATTGATGTTCAGATCCAGTACGTTTTGCATCCATAAGTTTTTTTATTATGGAAATGCTTCCTCCTGTACTCACACTCCCTAATAGTTCCTTGGAGAAAAATTGTTATTCTGTGTTTTATGTAAAGTGATTGAGGAAAAATGTGAAGATGTTTTTACAACTGCAAGCTCTCACTGTGTTTATAATTAAGGCAACGATTTTGTCATGGATGTCACGAAAATCATTAGTTTGAATATTGAAGTCTGGGAAATCTTGGAAACGGCTGTTGAAACACACTTTAGCTTAGGCACTTCCAAGGTTGCACTATGGGGAAATCGAACAGTGCTGGCAACCATGAGCAAATCGGCTTGTGGAGGTACACAGAGGGAGTCAGATGCACAGACAGAGACTTGGAAATGTACACGCAGAGAAACGGAGACACAAAGTTATGGAGATACATACAGAGACATGCATATACACAGATGCAGAGATACAGCCTCAGATACAGAGATATGCACACGTGGGTGGTGCGGGGGGAAGGGTGCACCACTCCACCTTATTCATTGTTCTTTCTGTGAATTTTTGGGGGGGGTTTCCTGCATTTCAGCTGTGAAATTCAAGACAAATTTCCTTGACAAAATCGTAGGCTTAATGGAATGATGTCATGTATTGATCCGTGAAATACTCATTTAGTCTCAAGGCAGCTCTTCAGGAGGGTCTTGCATTGTGATAATTGGCCAATTCCCTCCAGGTTGCACAGTGCATTCACCCTTTGCACAGGGGAGTGATCCTCTGATTTATTATATTAAAATAAATTATAAAACCGCATACTGGACTTTCAAATCCTGTGTTCTTGAGCTCTGGGTGTTTACGAGCTGCCTGGGCTAAGCTGCCATATAGAAGATTATCAGGATTAATTGGAAACTCCAAAGATGAGATAAACTTCCTAAAGCTCATCTGCAGAGTTGCTGTGTTTGATCACAGAAGTCAATTTGGTTTTTGTCGAACCTGCAGACACTTAATCATTCAATGATGCAGCAAAGAAGACTTTGTACTATTGCTTTGCTACTCCACTTCAAGATTTCTAGAGGGGGACTCCTTGTATGCAGTCCCAGGATGAGCTTTAGAAAAATGTTTTAACAATGTGTGTATTTCCCATTTTTATTGTCATGTACTTAGAAATCTTAAGGTTTCTGTCGTAGGGACAAAAACTGGATACAGCAGAGTGTGTTAAACTAGGACCGTTGTTGTAGGTGGACTGGAATCGAAATAATGGAAATTAAGAGTGGTGCCATAGCAGATTTTGTAGTACTTTGGGAAATCTTAACTTGACGATGAAAAGAAACAGCAATGAGCCTGAAGAAGATTTATTTAATCAGGGTGTATCTACTTGCCATGACATGAAACGTGTCCGTTAACATCAACAGTAGAAGAAACACTGAAAAGTGCACAAAAACATGGACAGGATGCACGCTTGGAATTGCATTGAGAGGCAGAAAGAGGAGCACATTTATTGAGAAAAAAATATACGTAGGTTACGGATATAATTCCAAACTGTTAAGCAAAAGTGGGTTTGGGAGGTACATGTAGCCAGACGGGATGATGGGCCAGAGGTTCAGAATAATTGTCGTCGAAGAAGTAGAACGAATCTGAGGGGCCGTCCACCGATGAGATGGAGCGATTAAATTAGTTCGTGTTCAGGTTCTAGGGTGGAGTATTACCTTACAGGATCCTTAAGAGATGGCAACGGCTTGGAAACACCTTTATCCAGGAGTGAATTGATCTTGGATAATGATGATATTCCACAGAAACGAGCAATGATGCACGAGGACCCAAGGAGAACAAGCTGATGATGAAACGTAGTGCGGCCTAATGGTGAGAAACTGTGGAGGTGAGGCTTGGAGGGAAGCACGTCCAACCCTTGTATCGGGTAGGCGAACCAGTGAACACGTCCATACGGTTGCCAGGGTGACTGAGGAAGCTAATGACTATATCAGCACAGTGGGCAAGCATTGTTGAGAGCCTGGGTTCAACTCTGGGCAGGCACCAATGGATTAAGCCGTCGCCCAACACGGCAGCCATCCGTGAATTAATGTTTGGCAACATTGGTGGTCTCAGAACCTCGCACTAATGACTGCACTAAAAGCCCATCTTCATACGTTAGATTTGAACCGGGGTACTCGTCGATGTGAACTAAACTATTGCTGCACTGGAGTGAATGTGGTGTTGTTGGCTTGTATTAAATGGATTGCCTCGTGCAGTCATCACAAAAGACGTGCTTCAATGTAACAACCTACCCCATCATGTTCCAGATGCTGAACAAGGTAAAAATGAGAAGCCAGTTTCCAAGAAAGCCAAAATTCGGGCAAAAGACACACCCCCTCCCCTGAATAGAGACCCCATTGGTGAGTATCTTTCCTAAAAAATATTCACTTATGGTGACCAAAATTTCATAACATTTAGTGTCTTTGCTGAACAAGTGGGGCCTCACAAGACCACTCGCTTAAGGCCCTACAGCCCAGCGTAGCTGCACTGCAGATAAGGAGCAGCTGGGTGGAATATCTCCCAGTGCATATTGTGTTTATGAATGAAGGTGCTCGGTTCCTGTGAGTGCTCACACCATCCTTAAACAGGTGTAGTGACGAACTCGGAGACAGTAAGACCTGGAGGCACTTCTTTATTTAGCAAGCACCATCAGGATAACATTATTAAGACCGTCTAATTGTCGGTGGCACTACTTAGAACAGTTGGTAGGCTCTCTGACTAGTGGCGCTCCGTGATGGTGAAGATGGAGCGGACGACGAGAAGAATGGTGACGACGAGAAGAATGGTGACGATGGACTTGAGCAGCACGACGGGGATCCCACTTCCAGCAACAGCCACGAGGTCTCCTACAGGGGCCCCTCATACACTCAGCGTGGCCTCGCTCCGCCCCGGCCACGCTCCCTTTCTGGAACCTACTAGCGAGTTCCCGAGGCTTTTCGATTGGCCCCTTCTGTGACCTTTCCCCTAGATCCCCCTCGTGTATATCATGGCCTGCTGACGTCAGTACTGCCATACACCGCAGATCCCCTTTTTTGCCAGCAGCCAGCTACTACATAGGTTAACCGACTCTGGGTTTAATGAACCCCCTCACTAACTTTCGCCCCCTGCCACTTTTTTTTGTAGGAGTGGAATTCATGCTGCCGGGCTTCTATTGCAAACTGTGCTGGAGTTTCTTCGCAAAGGAAGAGTTCGTCAGGAAGCACTGCCACAAACACGAGCACCAACAAAACCTGCAGGCATGTCTCTTGGCTACAGTAGTAATGGGAGAGTTGTCTCGTTATGCAGATGCCTCTCTTGTAATGACACTGGGTATTAGCACTTCTCCACGCTTGGTGTAACTGGGCCCAGCAATGTACTTAAAACAGCTTGCATGGATTATGTGAGATACTCCAAAAGTAATGCCTCCAATTTTTCTCTCTTTTCACCTTTTATTTAACTGATACTAAATGTTAGAGATTTATTCATAAGAATGTCTAGAACATGTATACATTTCAACTTTGTTTCCATTATAGTTATCTGCACTCGCAGCAATATGTAATAAGGATCAGCATTCCAACACAGTAAGGGGGTTGATCAAAGTCTCGTGATCATTTGCAAACAGCATCCTATACAGTGCCATTTTCAGAATGTTGACCACAGGTTATCTTCGTGGGTCAAATAGCTGGAAACCTGATGGTACTGGATCTGGGCTGTATGGTGGATGGGGCAGCATGGTCCTCCCCAATTGTGTAGTGGCTTCTGATATTCTACAGCTTGTATGTGCTCTAGTTTTGTGTTTAATGTGAGGGAGTTTTCCAACTGACAAATGTTTCTTAATCTTTCCAAAAATTAGAATCCAACATTTTTAATCAGTTCAATAAACAGTTCTTGAGGAAAAAGAGGCATTGTTTTTGCGGTATCCCTCATAGCTTAAAAAATGAGTCGCAACATTTGTCCTCAAAGTTGCGCTAAAATGTTACGCTAAAAAAGGAATTTTTTTGGGTAATTCACATTGTGGCTCTTGATAGAAGATTTTATCCAGCATACGTATTCCTGCATGATGCATCCATCCGACTTCCACGCCACTGGATTGAAAGTTTGCCTCGGCACAATTCCGATGATTATAAGAACGTGCAGTTGCCAACATCCTCCAGATTGTTTCAGAAACAGTGATGTGTTGCCTCTTTTTTGTCTCTGCCTTTAGAAAAAAGAACCTCAGTAAAGTGGTCTAAAAGGAGCCAACACAGGAAGTGGCGGGGAGAGTCACAGGAAAAGTTAAGTTTCTGCCTGGGCCTGGACAAGACCAGATTACTGAGATGCAAATCGTTAACCATGGCTATGGAGTGGTTGTGTGGTACTGGAAAAGAGGCGTTGTGTGTCCACTTCTAAGGAGATCCTGAGTTTCAATCTTGACAGACATCTGTGACCAAATCAGTTGTAGCGAACTCCGCGTAGCCACTTATGTATGTATGTATGCTCAACTTCTTTCGCACTGTACAAATCCAACCATGCTAATCGGAGGTGCGACGCAGAAGTTATAACGACGCAGAAGTTTGATTTCAATGGGTTCTATTTAATTATCCTAAGTCAGCTCATGAGAGCTAAATTTGGTATAAATTTGTATCCGATGATTGTCAAGTAGTGGACCACTTACATAGCATGTGTACAGTATGAAGGATGCAGCAGTCTTCAGTTTTTTTAGGTGATAAGATCTTTTGAGATGCCAAGAGTAGTTTTGTGATATATTTTCAGCATTATCTATCAACGATGTTATGAAAATGGAACAAGACGCTTCATGTTACGCCTTTATAATGGGGAAATCGGTGCTGCAATGGGCAATTAATATATTAAATGTTTATTTTGTTTAATAGCAAAAATAATCTCACAATGTAGCCGATTTAGTTGCTTCCAAATAATTTCAGTAAGGTTTGAAATATAAAACTGAATTCCAGATTACGAAGTGACGGCTGTGATGTTTTTTTTTTCCTCATCGACAATACCTGACCTAAGAAAGCCTCTTGCTGATTAGTTTTTTTTTATATATTAAAAACATGTTCCTCCTTAGTAGTGCTGAATTGTATTTTCCTAAAAGCATACAAAAATAACAATTTAAATTATTCATTGTTACGTTCAAGGTGCACCATTCACCCCAAGCGTGGGTGGGGTATTTCTGGTTGGAACACGCTTCCTCTAGCTCTCGTCACACAACTCCTGCAGATGTCAGGAGTTAAAAGAATACCCGATTCGACTTTTTAAAGATGCCCACAGTAGTGCGTGGCCCAATCAAAGGGTAAATATTGCCCTTGGATTACAAGCGCCTGCGAAAGCTTGTTCATTATAAGTGCACCATTCCATGTGACTTTTGTGTTGCCTGTGAATGATAATTGAGTTGTTTTCTAACTGTTAACCTTGGTTTAATAAAAAAAAATTGTTGATTATAAAATGTATTGTGGCGCCACGGGAGACGCCGCCAATCAGCTGGTACCCAGCTTGGCGACATCACTCCAAACCCCCACCTCTCCCCCTCTTTTCCCCATGATGAAATACACACCCCACAATACATATGGCATCATCCTCCAGACGGCCATTGCGCCCCCCCAACCCTTGCTTCCCCCCCCCCCCCCCCCCCATTATCGGTTGGACGCACCCACACTATAGGTCCTGATGAGGTCAATTGGCTAAGCGGGTTTTAAACCATGGCATTGCAGACAATGATCAAAGGCTTCCTGACCATCTGGGACCAATTTGCTTGAGCTCAAGGTGATAATTAACAGTGGGCGCAGGTGGAGTCTGACTCCTTAGTATGTTACATTTTGACTTGAAACTTTCGTGACTGCAGGAATTCATATTCTTTAGTTCTTTCAGTAAAGTCATGTAGAAAAAAAAAGTGAAAAAATTATAAAAAATAATAATAACAAAAAACTATTCATGTAGACTGTAGCCTGGTTCTTAATCGGAGTGAGTGTACTGGCAGTCTGTAATGTAGACTGTAGCCTGGTTATTAAGTTTGATGAGTGTACTGGCAGTCTATAATGTATACTTATTCTTGGTTCTTTCGGTAATAAAAATAAAATAAACAAAAAACCACGACGTTTCGATCACAACACAAGCGATCGTCTTCAGGAGGAAAGGGGGGAGGTCACCGAAGGCAACCGTGTCACAGTATGTTGTCACAAAGAATTGCCGGTCCCCCATGATGAGTTATATATTCAAAGAGATAGCGCTGGGTAGGGGCGGAGTGAAAGGGCAGGACAAGGAGCCCAATGGAAGGCAGGAGTGATTTACAGATGCAAGTAAGCGCACGATTGGCTGTGCAGAGATCACAGGTCCAAGCCTTTGATGTGAGGACGTAAGAGCCATGAGACGGAGTGTAGTGCTGTGATTAGCTCGGTGTGGGAGTGTGAGTGGACATCATCGAGTCGTGTGAGTGGACATCATCGAGTAGTGTGTGTTGACGTACGTTGGGGTGTGGCGCGGTGCGCGCTAATCCCGAGCAGCCCCAGTCAGCCAACATGTCTTATCGAGACGATGTTAATGGGGGCGCCAGCTACCCAGGCGGCGTGTGCCAGACAGACACGGTCTGACGAGGTGGATGAGAGGGAAGAGGAGAGGGTGGCGTCCCACCCTCCCCGTGAGGGCGACGGGGTGGACGTTGAGCCTCACAGTATCATTGTTAATTCTGTAATACTCCAGCTTTGCATTATGGTTTATTTTGATTGTCTTCCTATGCTGTTGTTGCTTTGAAGGCCGGTGTGGAATTTATGTAATGTTGTCAATAACGTGGGAACGGCACTTGAGAAAGTATGATCACCAAATTGGCAGGAAAAGACTACACATTTTAAGTGCTTGTAAAGTATTGGCTGGGAGTTAGAAAACATGTTTTAGACCTACTTGTGTTGGATGAATTAAAAAGCAGTCGATGGAGGTGAAATTATTTAGGTGGTTTAATCATCTGCTGACAGAATATTAGCCAAAGGAGCAAACATCCACGAGGTTAACCACCGTGGAGATTGCGCAAATAAAGCAAGTTGAGATTAATTGCGTCATTGCAGAATCATGGGGTATGATGATGGCTTGGAAATGCCTTCCTTTAGTTTATAAAAGTGGCTGATGAATAAATCAAGTTTTTTATATGTGTAAGGACAGTGCGTGGCTTAGTGGCCACTAGTGATGGTTACAGTGACAGGAGGGGGCAGGGCTCCGAGACAGTAAGCCAAGCAAGGAGAGCTGCGAGAGAGACTTGTCGAGAGGGGCGGGAGCTGAGCTCAGAGGAGTATAGAGGGGAGCGGAGGAACGGGGCTCGGGGCTGCCGTGGGGAGTGAAGTCCGGATCGTCGTCGCTGCGATCATCGCTGTCGTCTAATTTGTTTAGTCAACGATCATCGACGTCTCCTTATATAGTCAATCAGCTGTATAGGGAGCGTTGTGTAGTATCTACATGTAGTCAGCCTACGTCCTTCTGTGACACTTGAATAAATATAAAACATCAAGACATCGTATCCGAGTGCTACATTACATCTGGTGTCCGGAGAGGCTAAAATAGAATTGTCTAAGAATTTAAAATGTATAAACCCACCTGTAGCATCTTTGGATAAGGACAACAACCAGCAGACCCCCCAGGCAGCCCCGGGAACCGGGGTCCCGGTGACCGACCCCGTGGGTGCGGGATGGACAGCGCCGTAGACGGAGGGAGCCGCTCCTCCCCAGCAACACGCCACGGAGGGGTGGCGGGAGTTGGTGGCTCAGGTGGACCTACTCCACTCCATCGCACAGCTCATGGTGATGATGGGAGCCACGGTAGCGAGAGGAGATGCTGCCGAGAGGGTGCTGCAGGTCCCGCCGGAGAAAGAAGAATGGCCACCTGCAGCCGGGGTTCCACGCTGGGAGCCGTGCGGTTGTCGGCCACCATTTAGCGGGAGGCGACACGACCGTCGGCCGCCATTTCGCAGGCTGTGTGAGAAGCAGCAGAGTCGGTGGCAACTCCGGCAGCGAGGTGTGAGCCTGGAAAAGATGGGGTTCGCATTGAAGATGGGTGTTGTGCTGCCGGTGGCTGAGGAGGACACACAGTCATGCGGCAGTGGTCTCGGGTGGCCGCGTGGACCGGGGAACCTGGCCAGGTGACGGCACGGCCGCCCGATCAACATGGGCCGCCGCGGGGCCACTGGAGGAAGGTCCGGAGCCAGTGGGAGAGGTGGTGGCAGCTGGTACGCGGATGGGACCGGCGGCGAGAGGAGACATCGCGACTGATCCCGGGAGTG